CACGCCTTCGCCATCAACATGAACGCTCCCCTCTCCAAAAGAGCCAAGCAACGGTGACGACAAGCTCTCGCCCGCCAAAAGACGCAAGCCATCATCTCCAATGACGCCCTGAATTACTATTCAGGCCTGAAGAGATCCAAGCCAAAATGCAAAGTTCCTAAAATTGGCGAATTTAGTGTTTTCGGCGAGCCAAGAAGTTCAGGCGAGCCCCACGAGCTTCGCTCCATGAGCAAGGTTCCCAATTTTGGTGAACTTCTCAAATCAGTCGAGCCCTCCTACGTAGACGGGCTTCGTTCTTCAGGCGAGCTTCCCAAATCTAGCGAGCTTCCCAAATCTGGTGAACTCTGTAGTTCAAATGAACTTCACCAAGTTCGCTTAATAGCCCAACTTTGCCCGCAAGCCAGCCTTCGCCAGAAAGGCAAAGCTACAGCTCGCCCAACAGGCAAGCCTCGATAGGCCGAACCTCGCCAACACATGCGAGCTCGCCAACAGATGCAAGCTCGCCCAACAGGCGAACTTCGCCAGGCTGAGCCTCGTCGACGAGCTCAAATATGCCAAACAAGCGGACCTCGGCAAGCTCGCCTAACAGCTCAATCCCGCCTGCAAGAAGCGATAGTTCTCCAAACAGGCAAACCTTGTCTGACAGAACTAGAGGTTGAACCTCGCCAACGGGCTCTAGGTCGCCATCCATGTGAACCTCGCCTGAATGAACAGATGGTTGAACTTCACCAACAGGCCCAAGCTCGCCTGTCTAGGCAAGTGTTAGACCCTAGAGGGGGGGTGATTAGGGTCTTATGCTAATCTAATTCGATTAAATGCCAATTAAAATTTTCTTGTGAATTTTTGAGTGATCTTCTCTATGCTTGGGATATCTATTAGCATTTTTTGACGCCTACAACGTCTCCGCTCCTCACTCCCGGGGAGAAATCCACTAACACAATCTGGTTTGGAAGCCGGAACTTCTTCTACACACTCGGTTTTCTAGCTAACCGAAAACTCTACAACTCACACTCTTGCAATCACACTCTACACCCACTAAGTGTTGGACCTAGCCGTGTCTCCCTCAAGTGCTCGGTTACAACCTCTCCCTAGGCACGTCAACCGACGCCACTCCTCTTGGGACGATCCCCGACTCTCACCACACACTCCTCACTCGGTGTACAAGTGTATTACAAAGTGATTCTCACAATAAGCACAAATATGACAAATGATTGTTCTCAAAACAAGGTGAGAACTCAATTAAGCACAACTCTTAGTCACAAACCCACAACCCCAAATTATACTATGAATGTAAATACAATAAGCTCAATAGGTTGTGTGTGAACAAAGAGTATCAATAAAACAATTAAACTAAACTCAAATATAAATCTAGCTTATGGAAATTATAATCAAAATAATAAATTGCTAGATGAGTTTAGAAACACTTCTGAAGAGTTGGATGCCCAAACACCAATAGATGATCTCCTCAAGCTCTTGTTGAATTGAATCACAAAACCGAAACACTCTAATGCTTAAAAGCTTCTTAAAACAAACTTAAACAAACACTAAACAAGTTTAAACCCTTGTTAAAAACTTTTTAAACCATTCTCTTGTTCAAGAGAGAGAGGTAAATGCAATGAGGTATTTATAACAACCCAAGACATCAGCCAAAACCCCTAACAAAAGATAAAAATAGCCCCAAGCAACGGTAAGAAAACTAGCCGTTGGAAGCTGAAAAAGCTCTCGTCGGTCGACCGAAAACCCTGTTTAAAAATATCAAATAAATTCCAAAAAATGTAAAACTTTGGGGAATGATTGTAGACATGATAATAAACATGCTACAATGACTGGTTATCAAAAAGGACTTCCCAAATGAAAAATATCATCATTTTACAAACTAGTCCAAAACATGAAAATATGAGATACTTGAATTTTGATGTTTTGACATAAACCAACTTTTGAAACTTTGTGAAATGTTTTTGTAGACTTAGTAAAACATGTATAAACTGATATTGAAGTCTATAAACTAAGAATACAATATTTTCACAAAATTGTATATTCTATGCAATGTTTTCAAAAACATAATAGAAAATATGAAATATAGAATTTCATATATATAACCATAAAAACTCAAAAACATATGTATGTATATATATAACTATATATATGCATAGAAACCAAAACTGATGTATATATATATAACTATATATATATACGAAGAAACCAAAACTTATGTGTGTGTATAGATATTGAGCTTGAAGTATTTAACACACATAATATAAATCCTAAACTAAATTACCCAAGCTTGATCTTGATCTTCAATAAGCTCTTCTAGGTAATCTCACGGATGAAGCTTTAACTTGGATCTTGAACTTTGAATAGCAAGGCTTCACCGACATTCCGCCAACCTCCTTTGGATATGATCGTTGAAGCTCTATTCCATCCATCCTCCAACTACGTTGTTTGTCTACAAAACATAGGAATGCACAAACACTAGACAAACAACATTAGTAATAAATTGTTTGTTAAACATCATCAAAACAAGAAGGCCAACAGGTCTTACAATTTGGTTTCTCAATGACCAAAATACATCTTAGAGCATCTCCAACAGCTTCCCCATTTCCCAATTTTGGAGAATATAGTTAGGTTTTTGGTCCAACAGATTCTCCATCGCATTCCCCAAAATAGGGATGGAGGAGAAAAAATGGGGAAGCTTCCCCCAAATCTGCAGCATTCTCCAAATTTTTAGAGGAAAAAATGGATTCTTCAAAATGGGGAAGCTGTTGGAGTTGGTGTAAAACTAATTTGGATATTATGATTTTTGCTTTCCCATTTTGAAGAAAATTTTAGGATTCTCCATCGCATTCCCCAAAATAGGGATGGAGGAGAAAAAATGGGGAAGCTTCCCTAAGAGCATCTCCAACAGCTTCCCAATTTCCCACTTTTGGAGAATATAGTTAGGTTTTTGGTCCAACAGATTCCCCATCTCATTCCCCAAAATAGGGATGGAGGAGAAAAAATGGGGAAGCTTCCCTAAATCTGCAGCATTCTCTAAATTTTTGGAGGAAAAAAGGATTCTTTAAAATGGGGAAGTTGTTGGAGTTGGTGTAAAAATAATTTGAATAATATGACTTTTGCTTCCTCATTTTGGAGAAAATTTTAGAGAAGCTGTTGGAGATGCCCTAAATCTGCAGCATTCTTCAAATTTTTGGGATTCTTCAAAATAGAGAAGCTGTTGGAGTTGGTGTAAAACTAATTTGGAGAATATGACTTTTGTTCCCCCATTTTGGAGAAAATTTTAGAGAAGCAAAAGTCATATTCTCCAAATTAGTTTTACACCAACTCCAACAGCTTCCCCATTTTGAAGAATCCATTTTTTCCTCCAAAAATTTAGAGAATGTTTTACACCAACTCCAACAGCTTCCCCATTTTGAAGAATCCATTTTTTCCTCCAAAAATTTAGAGAATGTTGCAGATTTGGGGAAGCTTCCCCATTTTTTCTCCTCCATCCCTATTTTGAGGAATGCAATTGAGAATCTGTTGGACCAAAAACCTAACTAAATTCTCTAAAAGTGGGTAATGGGGAAGCTGTTGGAGATGCTCTTATGATTTCTATAATAAAAACTACATTGTTCAAAAAGGGTCATTTGCACTTTGGCACCTAAAAAACTTTTGACACTTTGATATCCTAAAGTTTACACTTTTCTTAACTTTGATTCTTTAGAGTTTTTTCTGACACTGTTGTTACGAAAATTTTTATACTTTTTAACTTTAACACCTGAAACTTTTCTTTTTGACAGTATGATATCTTAAACTTTAGGGTATCAAAGTTAAACAATATGGAATATTTGAGGTATTAAAGTTAAAAATATGCAAATTTTAGGGTATCAAAGTGTCAAAAAACATTAAGGGTATCAAAGTTAAAAATGCGTAAATTTTAGGGCGTCTAAGTGTTGAAAAAACTTTGGGTGTTAAAGCTTAAAAATGTGTCAAATTTAGAGTGCCAAATTGCAAATAACCCTCAAAAAATTAGCTAAGGGCCTGTTTGGATTTGTAGGGGGTGAAGGGAAGTTAAGGGAAACTGAGAGAAGAGAAGGGAAGGGAAGGGAGTTATCTTCCCTTTGGTTACACCCCAATTTGGAGGTAACAAATTTTATACTATTTAGGGGGTGAACCAAGGGGAACTATGGTGATTTAACTTCACCTCCTAAGTGTTCCCAAACAAGGTAAATGGAGGTGAATGGTTCCCCTAACTTCCCTTCACCCTCATTCCCCTCAATCCAAACAAGGACTTGTTTGGATTGAGGGGAATGAGGGTGAAGGGAAGTTAGGGGAACCATTCACCTCCATTCACCTTGCTTGGGAACACACTGTTTGGATTCGTAGGGGGTGAAGGGAAGTTAAGGGAAACTGAGTGAAGGGAAGGGAAGGGAAAGGAAGGGAAGGGAAGGGAATTCTCTTCCCCTTGGTTACACCCTAATTTGGGGGTAACAATTTTTATACTATTAGGGGGTGAACCAAGGTGAATTGAGGTGAATTAACTTCACCTCCTAAGTGTTCCCAAACAAGGTGAATGGAGGTGAATGGTTCCCCTAACTTCCATTCACCCTCATTCCCCTCAATCCAAACAAGCCCTTAGGAGGTGAAGTTAATTCACCATAGTTCCCCTTGGTTCACTCCCTAATAGTATAAAATTTGTTACCCCCCAAATTGGGGTGTAACCAAAGGGAAGGGAACTCCCTTCCCTTTCCTTCCCTTCCCTTCTCTTAGTTTCCCTTAACTTCCCTTCACCCCCTACAAATCCAAACAGGCCCACGTACTTTGTTCACTTAGGGATCAACTTGCAATTACCCAGGAATTCGAGGGACTGCTAAGTAGTTTCATACCTTTGAGGGACTACTATGGAATTATTGAAGAGATGAGGGAGTAATACTAAATAACCCGTTTTAAAAACTGCAAACAGAGAGCATATAAGTGCAATATAGGGAAATTACAAGGCATTAAATTGCTAATTAGCCATATGAAAATATCAATTGACAACGAGAGTGACTCTGTCAAGCTCTAGGCCGCGAATCCCGTGCTCCGCCGCCGTAAGCTCACCGCCCGTAATACCGATGGATCCCATCACCGTCTTCGACAAAGAGAGACACGTGTTCTTCCTTCAAGTGATGCTCGACTCTCTGCCGGCGGAGTACGAGACCCAGGAGATCAACACCCTCACCCTCGCCTACTTCGCCGTCTCCGCCCTCAAAATCCTCGATGCCCTAGATCTCGTAACTCCTCGCCCCTCTATTTCCCCCTTAATTACGAAATTGCCACTGGTTAGTCAATTGAATTGTGGATTGATTAATTGATTTAGGTTGACAAGGTGCAGATCGTGAATTGGGTTTTATCCTTTCAAGCCCACCCAAAGGACGAATCCGAGTTGAAGAATGGTATGGTAAAAGAATGAAACTTTGTTGAAATTTTGGTTGTTTATGGTTTTATTTGGGGGCAATTATATGATTTTCGTGGCAGTTACACGGATTTCGTTTAATTATATAGATTTTATAGGCCACTATATGTGGATTGTATAATAAAATAATGAGTTTTTCCTGAAATTTTGGGTTTTGTGATGGATTTTAGGGCAGTTCTATGGATTTCATGGGTCGAAAAGTTCTCAGTACTCAGATGCCGATTCAAAGGTAAAGATCCAATCTTTACATGAGCATTCTGTAGATTTCGTTGATTACTCATAATGAGCAGGTTTCAGGTCACAATGGCAGTCATCTTGCAAGCACTTACTGTGCTCTGGGATTGTTGAAGATTCTTGGTTATGATTTTTCTAGAATTGATTCTGAGTCTATTTTGATTTCGATGAGGAACCTTCAACAGAGTGATGGGAGGTGAAATTTATTGTTAGTACTGAGGTATAGAGGTTCTTTGTAAATTTAAGTTTATTTGGATTTCTTTTTGCAGTTTTATGCCCACACACATTGGGGCGGAAACAGACCTACGATTTGTATATTGTGCCGGTGAGAAATAGTTTACTTTGTATTTGCCTGTGAATTTGTCTATTCAATGCCTTTAACAAACTTATTTAAGTAAAGTTACTTGGTTTGACAGCTGCCATTTGTTCTATGTGCGATAATTGGATTGGGATGGACAAAGGAAAGGCCAAAGATTATATAGTCCAATGCCAGGTCCGTAATATCTATAGCATTGTTTGTAACAAATAGATTGTTGTGTTTTTTATTAGTAAGATGCAATTTCTATTTGTTTCTTACTGCTTGCAGTCATATGATGGTGGCTTTGGTTTAGTACCAGGCTCCGAATCTCATGGTAAGTATTTAAATGCAAATTTTGCAAGATATCTCTCAGTACTATGCTATCATCATCTGATGATATGTTAAGTGACTTCAATCATTTCTTTACATATGCATATGCTACAAGTTTTGAAGGTAGATTATTTTAAATTTTAAGTAGTCCTTTTTGTGAAGCAATTTTCAAGTATTGTCAATCGTAAATTAAATTCTTACATAATGAAATATATTAGTGTATTCAACATAAACATTTTCTGGAATGTGAAAAAAGAGAGGATATAGGTTTCTAAAAGTATAGATGCAGAGTAATCCTTTTGACATGTCCAAAAATTTTTGAAAGTATCAAAGGCAAACACACGCACACACCCCCACACACACACCGGCACACACACATGCACATTGAATAAGTAGTTAACCAATCTATATAAATTTTATTTGATTTGGAGTTGCATTTAGATAATTTGTTAAGTTTCATGATATGGAATTCGTCTACTGTTCATTTATGTAACTCAAGGATAAATGGTTTTCTAATTTTTAAAATTCAAAATATTTTTGTGAAGCAAATTGCTGGCATTATTAAAAGTAGATTAAATTGGTATATAATTAGCTAAATTCATTTCCTCGTGATCATATCATGTCATACCTGTATACCTTGTCTTTCATTTGCTTACAAACACAATCTTGAAATCAAATCTTTTTAGGTTGCGTTTGGGAACTTTGATTTGGATTTGGGAAGTTGATTTAAAATCAAGGGATTTTAAATTTAGGATTTGAAATCCATGATTTAAGAAATCTTTTGTTTGGATATCTTTATTAAATGAAAGGATTTAAAATCTTTGATTTCAAAATCTAGTGTTTGGGTACTTTATTATACATGAATTTGAATTTAAAATTGGTGAAAATTTATTCTCTTTAACTCATCTTGTTTACATCAAATGCAATGGAGATTTGTAAAATAGTAACCAAAAAACACAAATTTAAGTAATTTTGGCGATGGTAGCTACATTTGCTAAGTTTTCAAATTCATTACCCACCATAACTTGCAAGAGTTTCAACAAAATAAAAATGAAGAAAACTCTACAAACATATCAAGTATCTTACAAAAAAAAACATCTAAATAATACATTACCATTGCATATTTCACATATAACCATGCTGGAAAACACTTGAGGCTTGTTTCATATTTCGTACATATTCAAAGTGAGAATAAGTTGATATCAGAGCAAATAAGTAACAATTTCATTATCTTCTCAAATGCAGGTACAACTGACAATTATATAGTCAATTTGGTCTTTGATATACCAGAAAAAATACAAAGAGTTGCAAACTGAATAGCACGTGAGAAGAGAAGTATCCTTGATGTAAAGAAATTGCAACTAAGGATTCAGAAGTGCTTGTATGATAAACCCTATCGGCAGCAACAAAAGAGTAATTCATATGCCATCACGATATGAGCCCAAAACCTACAAAGAAAATGAACAGATCAATAAAATTTTTTAATCAAGCTAACAAGCTAACAAATTAAACAAAAATGTCGGATAAGTGAGACTGAATAAGATAAGCATAAAAGCATATGGAGACCTGTGAGAGTATTGGTTAGGGAAATCAATACACTAGATGATACATAACCTAATAACAAACATGAGAACTACATTTGCGCACACTTTACAACTCAGCCTAACATCATACATGAGACTTAGTCACTCAAATCTGTCTAGCATCATACATGAACCAAAGGAAGAGCATAAACTGAAGGAAATGCAAGCCCCCAAAAATTAAACAGTCAAAGCATGTACTTTGGATCTCAGAACTCAACACATTTAGACATACGTTCAGATACTCGAATTAAACAGTCAAAGCATGTACGCCGAAACATAGAGGCTGAGAAAGCTATATTGGTATAGACATCCTCCAGGAAAGAGAACATTTTGAGGTTAATAGTAAGATTTAAGAAAATGGCTAGCATTAATTTTAGTTAGCCATTACAAGTGATACAAATAGATGGTGGAAGGAGTGTCCTTGTATATGGCCCTGGCAATTGTTCCCACTTAGGCGCAATCAAGAAATGAGACATAAGTATAATGATCAATTTTATGACATGTATACAAGTGATAAAAATAGCCAATGCTTTGAAGAGAAAAAGATGAATACATATATATATATTTTTTGACAGAACAAAAATGCAGCCTTTTACAACATATTTCAGAAAATGAACAAACAAGCACCAATCTGTTATGAATAATTGTGACAATAAATGATATGTGTGTGTGATAAGTGGTTCAGTTCATTGAAATTGAGGTACACAAGAAGAAAAGTAGATTTGATACGCCCATATCATCCCAAGACATTAGTACATGAATAAGCACCACATATTTCAAAAATGCATTTTAGTTGCCGTTGAAATTTGCATCTCTTCTAAAGATATTCACTGTTCAGAGCTAGAATCCTGCCAATCTTTGATCTAGCCCACAACATTTTGTGCATGAGCAACCTATGCATCAAGTTTGACATACAATTAACATATCTGGTTCTAAGGCTAAGCAGAACATACACCCATCTCAAGCACCAACAATTGCATTAGGTACAGCAAACGCAGTTGGTAGAGAAATGTTAACTATAAATGTAACTATAAATCTCCATAACTGGTTCAGTACTAAAGACTTCTCAATATTTTGAATTCAAAGTCAAATGCTAAAAGCTAAAACTAGCATTAAATATATTGTTCCCAAGTACTGTCTAAAACAAAATAAATAGGAAAATACTTTAAGATCCTCAAGAAACACTGGTTCTGAAAATGGTGTCAAGTCTTTGAATTCCTATAAATATTACATGTTTTGATCTAGTAAGACTAGGTCAGTACTGATGCAAATATAAGGTGGTATAATGCACAGCCTATAGCATGCAAAGGAGTGAAAGCTCTATGCAGCAGAGAAACTGTATTCTGCTTTGAAATGCTGCCAAAAGGTACTCCGAGAAAAAAGGCAGAGAGAAAAATACCCGACCTTAAGATAAATAATAATGATGGAAACATGGGGTTTGTCTCTTACATAATTAAAATGGGGAATTACTATACAACTGTGTACATGATGACAGAGCAAAAGAATCCACCGAAAGATACACCCCCTTTCTTAAAGATAGACACTATCGATTGACAAACCTCTTCCCTTTTATTGAACCACCCTCACATCCATTAAACATGCACAATCAATAAAATATGCAACCCATAAAGACATGATGATTTAAACGAGATGTCAATGACAACTCACCTATTTACCAAATAAATTTCAGAAAACAAAACGGTGCAAGAATTATTGTGATTATATACCTCAGTAACCCAGAAAAGGTTGGAAAAAGAACTTACTTGTCCACATAGATATGCTTAACAGGGCCAAATTTTGAACATTCTTCCTGCACTTCATCTCTGATATCCAAATCGAAATCGGGATCCGCCTGCATGATCAATCAAAACTTAAGAACCAATGTGACACCCTTTACTATGTATAAAAAGAAACAACCAACCTCGGTCCTTGGATCAAACATATTCTTTAATGAAATGCATTCTCTGGGTTCTCCAATTGGCACAGCGACGAGTGGGGAAGTTAGCAATGGAGCTGCAGGTAATGTAGCCTGCCCATTTGTAGTTAAGGGTAATGCCTGTTGATTTGGTTGTGCAACCCCATTAACCAAGGGTACTCCAAGAGATTCAGCAATACTGCAAAAAATAAGCATAAATCAACTGCGTTCTGCTTAGCCTTAGAACCAGATATGTTAATTGTATGCCAAACTTGATGCATAGGCTGCTCATGCACAAAATGTTGTGGGCTAGATCAAAGATTGGCAGCATTCTAGCTCTGAACAGTGAATATCTTTAGAAGAGATGCAAATTTCAACGGCAACTAATCCCATCATCAAAGATCACAAAATCCATTAATATAGTACATATATAAGACTTCAACCAAAAAAAACTACAGAAATAATCAACTAAACCAACTAAACCAGATTTCAAACAGCAATTATTCGGTTATTAGAGTTGAATGGACCGATTCAAGGTAAGCTTTTCAATGTCGCTTCATATGCACAATCAAAAATAAAAAATAAAAAATTCTTTGTATAGACAGGAGACGTGCACTAATTCTTTGTATAGCAATTTCAATTGTGATAATAACATGAATCCAACATTAACACTATATAAACCCTAGATCAGATCTAGGGTTTCGACTGTAGGGGGAGAGGCAGGGGGAAGGGGCAGGGGGAGAGGCGGCGGCGGGGGGGGGGGGGGGGAGGGACTTTACCTGTGAGCGAAACCAGAGAGAGAGGATCGGGACTTGAAACCAGAGAGAGAGGCAGGGGGGAGAGGGGGAGAGGCGGCGGCAGGAGGGGGGAGGCGGCGGCGGGGGGAGGCGGAGAGGGGGAGATCGAAACCAGAGAGAGAGCGCGACTTGAAAAGAAAGAGAGGATCGGGTCGGGATTTGATAAATGACAAGGGTGGTGTGGAATTTGAAATCACTTGTTTTGGGCTTTCAAATTCCTCTTTGTTAAATCAATTGATTTAAAATCTAGGTCCAAATCAGAATCCAAACTAGATATTTGGATTTGAAATACCCTGGATTTTAAATCCAGGCCCAAATCCAAGTTTCCAAACACACCCTTAGGGTTATTTCAATATTAGTCCCTCAAATCTTCAACATTTCCAAATTAGCCCCCCAAATCATGGAAATTCCTATTATGTCCCTCCAATTTCTTGCAATTAGGTCCTTCTGTTTGATTTAACATGTATTTGTTTAATTGGGGTTGGGTTAGGCATTTATCCCACATGCTAATTACTAAAGTGCCTTTAGGTGTATTTTTCCCAAAAAATCCTCATTTCCTTCCTTCCCCTCTGTTCAATATTCTAGTGATTGAAAAAGGAAATAATAATTCCCTATTTTCTCCTCATTTCCCCTACTGACCTCTCCCCCAAATGATCGAAAGTTTTCCTGTTAGCTTTTTTTTTCATAATCTCAGTATGGGAAATGAGGATTTTTTGGGGAAAATACCCCTAATGGTACTTTAGTAATTAGCATGTGGGGTAAATACCTAACCCAACCCCAATTAAACAAATATATGTTATATCAAACAGAGGGACCTAATTGTAAGAAATTGGATGATTTGAGGGACCTAATAGGAATTTCCATGACTTGGGGGACTAATTTGGAAATATTGAAGATTTGAGGGACTAATATTGAAATAACGTATCTCTTTAATATATGTTAGACATTAGATTTGGTTATGGTTCTTGATTACAGATGATTGTTTTAGTTTCTCAAGTTTGAACCTGATATTTGGTAGATCAACTTTTATCTGCCTAGTGTAACAGGTGGTGCCACTTACTGTGCGGTTGCTGCTCTCCAACTAATGGGTTTTATTGAAGATGATATCCTTAATAAATTTAGACCATCCAGTGTGATCAATGTGCCAATGCTAGTGGAGTGGAGCATGCAGGTATTGTATCTTTGAAGTGTACCCATGTCATCTGAGTAAAGAATAGAGCTTCAGTTTTGTGTTTCCGTGATAAAGCATCGTGTTGGTTAAAATAAGCAAAATGTCCCTGGATGCCTTATGCAACTTTGTACGTCAAGTTTCCCTTGTTAAACAATGATATCCCTTCACAGTTTGCGTTAGAATGTCCTTTTCGTATCTTTTCTTGTTTTTGTTAGTATTTCTGAATTTTCTACATTTTAGGATTTTGTTTATAAAAAAACAGAGTGTAGAGGTGGAAGTGCACAAGATCAAGCCTAATTGGAAAAACTGGATCGTGCCAATTGAAACAGCAATATAGTAAAATCAATCAGCGGAGATGGTACAGTTATGTGAAACATGGATCGTGAAAAACCTTAAGAGTTGCCCGGAGGTCATGGAATATTAAATATGATACTCTGGGAAATAATTTTGACTATCTTGCAGGACGCTAAGCATGGCTTGTATTTTCAATAGATTGCAAGGAAGGAATTATAGAGTTACTAACTGTTTATGATATAACCTAATATGGACAGATATTGACAGAGAACTTATGATGAGCCCCTTTAACCAGCAATTTGAGTAAATGATTTACTCGGTCTAGTTTTACGTCAAGTGTTGTTTAACCGCACTGGAGAATTCTGTAGACTTTTTTATTTATTTATTTTATAACTGCATTGACGTGGCAACAGTGGTGAAAGAAATGAACTTACAGTCTTTTTATGCTGCAGAGGCAAGCAGCTGATGGAGGATTTAATGGCCGAGCTAACAAGCCCAGTGATACTTGTTATGCATTCTGGTAGGCAATTTAAAACTGCCATTTCTACATCAAGACATTTTCCTGCAATAAGCTTCAAGATATTTGGAATTTTACAGGGTAGGTGGGGTTTTGAAGATGCTAGGAGCTTATCAACTTCTTGATAGGGTAGCTTTGCGGAGATTTCTACTTTCTTGCCAATCTCAGGTGCTGCTGCTAAGTTTTATGTTGGGTAACATTCACAAAATCACCATCAACTTTGGGGTTTTACAAAAAATTGTTTTAAACCTTTCTATTAGAGAGAATACCCATGAATCTTTTTCATTGCCCTACAGCAATTAGGATAAGTTTTATGGAAAAATTTACCCTCTCCTCCACCCCTTGTTCATTCATACTAACAAGGGTAGTTTAGCCCTTTCGTCTGAGATGTTAAAGCCGTTAACAATAATTTCTAATGGTTTGTGTTATCTTTATGCTGTTTAGAAAGTTCATGGAAGTTTTCTAATAAAAGTTTATGGTAGTTTTATGCAAAACACCCCAAAGTTTATGGTCCTTCTGGGAAACTTAAGAAAACTTACATGTTTGAACATCATTATTTTTTGAATCGCTTTCAAGCACTGACATTTTGTGTATCTTTGCCTGCACACAGTACGGTGGTTTTACAAAGTTTCCTGAGAATATGTTGCCCGAACTCTATCATTCATACTACGGGTTTTCCGCATTAAGCTTGTTGGAGGAGCCAGGGCTCAACCCACTTTGTGTTGAACTAGGGTTTCCACTTTAAATCCTATTGCAATTTGTGCTGTGTTCTCATTACTCAAGGTATGGAACTCAGATTCAAGATTTTGCGGGTGGCAGCTTCAGTAAATGTGAAGTACAGTATCTGAGATTGGAAGATATGCAAAGTTACCGTGGATTGAGAAACTGCTATTCTGACAAATATTGTTACACTTATTACTTAGTATATTATTATTATTATTATTCTAATGGATGTGAAATCAGGCTATGAACTCTTTGAGCATTCATTGATACCTTCAGTATCCAATGTTAAATTTTTGCACAAATGTTTGAAGGTCGCTCGCAGTCAGTTGGAATGGTTTCGCTGACATTTGGAAATTGTTTTTGAAAATGGTGATGGTGGTGTCAGGAAATGTAAAATTGATATGTTTGAAGGTCACTCGCTCGCAGTCAGTTGGAATGGTTTCGCTGACGTTTGGAAATTGTTTTTGAAGATGCTCGTGTACGTGCAGCTTATGAATCAAACATTATATATCCATTATATCTGTGACCTATCTTTCTATGTTTTGTCTTTTCCTTGGACTTTTCCAAGGTTTAGTATAATACCAGCAGTTGAAATAGCTGCAGAAACATCATGTTCTGGACTGTGAATGGCTGGCTTGGTCATATATTTGCATCTTGAACCTGGTAATTGGAGGGTGCTAAATTCCTCCAATTTTTGCTATGCATTTCGAAGTCAAGAGACGAGATTAGGTTACGAGATAGAGCCATTACAGTCTTGAAAACCAGTAATGGTTCTGAAAGTTATTGTTTTTATAAAACCATTGTTCTTTGAAAACCACTATCACAATAGTAAAACCCTACATTGTCTAGTCTCATCCCTTGATTTCAGAATGTATTGTAATGATCGGAGGAATCGGATACTCTCTAATTACCACTTAATTGGAGAAGAATCGGATCCTCACATCTTCTTCCTGGTGTTGTTCCAATTAGCAAGTAGCATATTACAAATTGGCCTAATTATCCAAATGGATACAACGATGTGATACATACCATTTTTGGATCTAAGTATCCAAAATTACACAGTAACTACTTTTTTTTTTACCCTTGTGACGCATGGGACTCGGAAGGAGTTTATTAGTATTTATTTCATGTTGAACTCAGAAGTAAAAAAGCTTGTCAGGTAGTCAACAAGCGCGATATCAATACTTAACAAAGTAATCCCAGTGAGCAACTGTTTCAAAGGGACGACAACAATCACCATTGATCAAGTTACAACAAGAACAACAAATAATGGATTGAAAATATCCACACTAAAAAAACTCTGCAAATTAGTGCAAAAGAATGAGATATCAAGAAGTGCCTGAGGATGCTCTTCCGTTTTAGGTTATTTGCATATACCCTTTACATAATGGATATTTGCAACAATACACTTTAAATCTTAGTATTTGCAAAACTGCTTCTTAAAATCAACTTTATGAAAAAATACCCCTAAAATCAACAAATCATCAACTCATGCTAAAATTTTGACTATTTTATTTATAATATTTGCATTACGATGACATATGAGCTTATAAAATATGTTATTAATTGCTTTGAGGGTATTTTTTTCTAAAACTGATGATTTAAGGGGTAGCTTTACAAATACTAAGATTTGAAGGGTATTTTTGCAGATACCCATGATCTAAGGGTATATATATATATGAAAATAACCCTTCTGTTTTCGCATAAACCCTCACTAAAATATAATTTTAAAGCCTTGTAAGATTTTCTGCAAAAAATACTTTCTAGAGGGTTATTTCACAAAGTAGCAAGCAGAGGACCTATATGCAAAAGGTGCATCGAATCCCTTTATTTATGCAGCCATTTCATCGAGCAGTTGGTGTACGTGGGGAGAAGAGGCGATGATGAAGAGCAAGGCAGCGGCTTTAACCGTCGCCGAGAGATGCAGAGTAATTTCTGCACTTCTTATTGCTATTTTTCCTTGTTTAGATCAAATAATTTATCTTTTGAATTGGGTTGGGCAGAGTATTTTGGGCGCGAATTCCCAAGCTCACCTCAACACCATCAAAGCCGACTCCAAAGGCAGGTACAGCTCTGTAAATATAGTAAATTAAGCAGAAATTTTGATGGGTAGGCTTCAAAATCGAAACTTGATCGTTGGATTTTGCATGAAATGGGTTTATGTGAATTGGGTTTTGTGCTTATATAGTAAATTAGGCAGAAGCTTTTGATGGGTAGGCTGCAAAATTGCAACTTGATAGCTGAATATTGCATGAAATGGGTTTATGTGAAATGGTTATCTTCCTTATAAGGGGGTTTGGTGATTTGTAGCAAGAGTGAGATTCACACTTCGAAGGTGCACTATATTTTCAAGAGGGGAAAGCCTTACCTCTGGGTTCAGTGAGATTCACACTTCGAAGGTGCACTATATTTTCAAGAGGGGAAAGCCTTACCTCTGGGTTCATGAAGGAGACTTGCATAATACGGAAGGTGCACTATATTTTCAAGAGGGGAAAGCCTTACCTCTGGGTTCATGAAGGAGACTTGCATAATACGGTATGAATACGTCGATTTCGGTTATTGTTTTATTGCTTAATTTGTATGCTATAATTATTTTCTGCCATGAAGTTTGTGAACTTTAGCTTTAACATCGAAGCTTGAATACTAATAAAGCGTGTCCGTCCTTACCGACTGTTGAATAACTAACTCGGTTTTGGCATTTGGTTATTGTATTTTGAGCTTACTTAAAAGTAACGTGACAGCATGAACCACAAGGTGATCAAATTCTTTGTACAAAAGCAACCATACTCAGAAATGGTTGGAATATAGAATTTAAATTCAGGCATGATACAAATTAATGACTAGTTTGTACTTTGACGTTTGAAGTAACATATTCATCAACAATGACATGTTTCTTCTATTGTTTTACAGAACATAATCATTGATGAGCGAGGTTCTCTTTCTGTCAGCAATGTCGTTCCAGGTCCACTTATGGGTTTGCTCAAATCTATAAGAAAGGTTGGTACATCAATGGTTGCTTCCACATCTTTGAAGTTGCAAATCCTAAGAAAGGAATATTTGCTACTCTTAGTATCACACATAAGTATTCTTCATGCTGCTAGAATTGCATAACGTTCTAGGAAATCATGAGTGATGTTATCAGCATTCACATGGCTAGAGGTGATAAATATCCAAAGTGTAAACATTTATTCACCTTGAGGATATGTATAACAAGAAATATGTTATCCTACATTTGACAAACTCTATTTTTCATTGATCGTTTTACAAAAGTTGGGTAGTGTCACATATGGATACAACCTAAGACAATATGTTATATGAGTCACATACGTAAATTTAGTAGAAATTTTACTTGTATAAATGTGTCTTGTGTCTAGATTTTGGCCAATAGCCATGGGTGCAAACATTTGGCCATCATTAGCATAGATGGTACTCATATCCATATGTACAAAATTTAGCAATATTCCTTCAATGGACACCTGAAGCAGGGCCGTACCTAGGAATTTTGGGGCCCAAGGCGAAATATTAGATGAGGCCTAAGTGATACAACTCATAATAGATTTTATCTCATTCTTTTTACCTTTTGAGCTGCAAAATTACTAATTAAAGTTTTATATTCAATATTTTCTAACATATTATTTTTGATAGATAATATTGCTAAATCATTCAATCTATATCTTGTAACATGGTCGATCTTATATAAGATTTTAGTAATTTTAGTTTTAAAAAACTTCTTTGAAACTGTTACGTGTATAGTCAATGGTACACGATAAGCAATACAAGTATTTGGAATAGAATCTAACCACTTTATATAGTTCAACACTTCAATTGGACTATTAATCTGTACTTTTAAAATTTCTCTAAGCACTCTCAATTCTGAAAACAAATCAAGTCCATTAATATCAAAATGTTCATCATGTTTTAGTGCATTTTCGAGATTAAGACAATATTCTTTCAATTCAATATCATCTAAAGCTTTTAATTTTTTTAAATCAAACAAAAAAAATCATACGTTTTAAATTGTTCAAACCTACTTTCACTTGAGCCAAGCGATTTATCAACTATGTATAAGAAATATTCAATACGAAAAGATTCTTCAACGTTAAATATTGTTTCATTACCAATATTTTCAACAAATTGTTTTTTCTATGAATTTTATGTTTTTCACGAAATATAGGTTGTACATTCATTTCATTAGCAAGTTCTTTAGTTGAATTCAAAGCAGACATAAAACATTTTTTTCTATAATTTTCTAAATATACAATAAGTCCCTTTAATTGATCTATGGCAATATCAATATGTATATCTTTAGATTGTAAGATTTCACTAACTGAATTAACGGCAACATTATGCCATACCTTCTTTCATGTTTTTCTCCGTTTGACGATTTTTGTATGTAATATGATGTAGAAAAGTATCTATTATTTTCATCTTTAGGAAAATTTATTTCTTCATATTTAATTGGACTTTTTTCAATTATTAGATCTATAAATTTTTGATCAATACATTTCCATTGTCCAGGAAGAGGCGAAGAGCTGGGGGAGACTGGAGCGGAGAGTCGGGAGAGTTTATCAGTTTAATCACTTCACTTGATGTTTGAGAGGTCGGGAGTTTAATCACTTCACTTGATCTTGATGTTTGAGAGAGGAGGCGGTGGGAGGGAGTGGGATAAAGAGAGAAAGAAATAGGGTTAGGGTTTAGGCTGAGGGACTTAAAGAATTGAGGGTGGGTGGGCCTTACTCAAGATGAGGCCCAAGACAGATGTCTTAATTGCCTTAAGATAGGGCCGACCCTAACCTGACGTAACCAAAGTTTATGTGGCAATCTGGTTGAGCTCTTCTGGACCGTCATTAGCATCGATGACTGTTATAAGAAACCTTCACTTAATCACTTGCGTGGTTGTATCCCATTTAGGTTTAATGGTTAAGATATATCTTTTTGTTTTTTTTTATGTCCACATGGCTTCTTCTGTCGTCCTTTTTTTTAAACTGTTTATTCTTTCGGGCATTCAGTCTCCTTTTTATCTGTTCTAAAGTGAATTGGTAATTAGCAAATAGAAATTATATGTTTCACGAGCTTAGGACAAAGATTACTCTTCCCTTATTGTACATATGAATTTGTAGATGACAGCTAATTATTACAGTTAAAACCTTTTTGCATATGTATTTTCTTTGTCTTCTTAATATACTTAAATCTTGCAGCTGCCAGCTCGTGTTGCTTTAGCGGGTGATGTTATACCTCTTAAAGATGATAAGGTAGCTTCTATCCTATACGTGTTTCCATCATATCTTCTATAACAGGATAAATAGAATTCTAATTTGTTCTGATGTGGATTAAAAGTTTATTTTGTTTTTAATACATTGTTCCTAATTCTTGAATTCAGGTTCAGATGGTTACAGAAAACCTGCGAGAATCTATACTCTCAGAGTATGAAAAAGCCACCCAAGCCAGTTATGCAGTTACTGCACTACTAAGCTCTGCCAGTGCTAATTGCAGATCAAGATGTGAAATCTTACAAGAAATACTTGGGAAAAGTGAAAATTACGCTGTTTATAAATTTAACATCAGGTACAAACCATTTACTGGTTACATTTTACTATTTTGGCATAATTATTTGGAATGCTTCCTACTATTTTGTTTCTCTTTTATGATAGGAGTTTTGAGAATAATGATATTCTGGTTTGCACTGAGATTTGATTTTGGAATTCTACAAGAATAATTCTTCAAAACATGTATTCCTGTATTGGTATATTGAATCAACGTTCTATAATGGATATTTGAATGTATAAAACATTAAAATTTGTTAGCATATTTGAATATCTGTTATCATTCTTCCCCTTTTTTCCAGAAACTACTAAATGAGGATAGATGTTGGAATTTAACTTTGCGCACATCTTAAACTGATGGATCCACATAATTAATAGGATGAAGTTATGGCAAAACCTGATCTTATTTATAGATCATCAATGAATCACATCTTTTATTTTACATCATCTACTGAATAGTTTGCTGTAGTTTCAGAATAAGCTATAGTATCCATTCTTGATTTATATATGATCAGCATGGTCTTGACCAATCTAATAATTCACCATACAAAATCGATTTCTACAACATTGTATATTACTCTGTTGGGATTATGTATTCAATGAAATTCTCTCCGTAGATCATGCACTTATGTGGACGGCAGTGGGCACTCTCATGATTTGGAGTTGCAGAATGTCGATGCACCAAAAGCAGAACAACTATGTAAGGCTTGACATTCAACATATCTGACTTTTTTTCCCCTTCTTGAGCTTGATTATATCCAAATGGGCCAAGATCTATTGTAGTCGCTCAAGAGAGATAACTAACAATATGTTATTTCATTGTGGGAGATTAATACCTGTTTATTTTATAGTGTCATTTTCTGCAAAGCTAATTGATGGGATCAACCAAAGTCAAGCAAGACGCAGGGCACTGATGCTTTTCTGTTTCGAAGAGTATAATGCGACTGTGAGGGTAAGTCGTGGAGCTTTATCTTGGTCAGTGATTTGCTGTTAGCTAGTGTTGTTATGAATCTTATCTGCTTACAGAAAGTGATTAAATATCTATGAATAAATAGTGGCTGTTGTATCTCTTCAATCCATGGTGTTGGTTGGTGTGTCGTAACACGGTGCATCCAGCATGATATCCGAGTTATCAGTTGTGATCTAGGTATGTTGTTGATCTTCATTGTACCACATCTGATACACACCAGCCAACCCCATGGAGAAACAAACATGGCCCGTACACCTACATGCATTCCTTGGCAATTGTGGTACTGATGTGTTCACATCCAGTCTTTTATAATCCGGTAAATTTCAAGAAAAAAAAACCCTAAAAGTTTGGAGGGTAATTTGATAAGGTTTTTGGGGTTATTTGAAAAAGTAGTGGGGTTAAGTGAGCACCATTTGCCTACACAAAGGTATTCGTGAACACAATGCAACCTTCATTAGCCCATCTCTTCGTTTTCGCTGACTTCGGTGCCTGCTCTGAATGAAGGATGCTTTGATGCTCTCTATTGATCGAAAAGGATTTGATGTCCTCGGGAAGGTTGCTCAACAAGCAACAAACAATGACGGCCTCAGCACGATGCAGTACACATGGAAGGAGTTCAGGTTCAGTTTTGAAGAACAAGCAAGTGATCTAGAAGCTTTCTGCAGTCGTCTGATCGAATTAGAAGAAAAAACTCTTCAAAGTGTCAAAAGCTATAGCGGCCTTGGTTGAGGAAAAAACTCCTTTAAAAATGAAGGCAAAGGTTGTTCATTGTCTGTCAAAGAGACTTAGCTGCAGGATATATGATCATGAACTTGATAATATGGAGGATCATTTAGTGCAACAATGCGTTTGCTTTACTGGAGAGGGTTTTGTACGAGATTTGTACCTTTGCAAAGTAGATTTTGTTTTTCTGTCGTTAGGAGTTTAACCGCGAGTATCTAAAGCATGAATACTCCCACTTCAAAATTTTGAAACTATTGGACCTATTTTATATGATGTCATTCGCCTATATAAAATACTAGTATGCATCATGTGCAAAGCACGACCTCCTGTTTTTTAAGCACTGCATTTTGAACTTGTTTTCCTTTAGATTTTAATGCATTTGATTTGATTATTGTATGTTTAAAATTAGAAATTATATCTACTTCTTTATGTTTAAAGAAGGATGCAAGGTTTAATACATTTGATATAGAATTCATAATTTACTCTTTTATATTTAAAAAAGAATCCAAGTTTTAATGTATTTAATTTAGAAATTATATATACATTTAAAGAAAGATTCAAATGTTAATACTGTAGCAAAATATTTTATGTTATGCTATAGTATTTTTTTTATACCGTAGCATGAACTTCACTTTGAGTGAAGTGGGCAGATTCGGTTTACTGTTCATACTACAGTAATTAGTGTTTCATTTGTGGTAGCATGAACAATAATTCTTGGGCTGTTATATAAGAGTAGATTTACTATATACTAAAACAATTGTCACAGGAATGATGATATCTATCTTTATTGTTATGGAAATTATATCTAAGGGGCTGTTTGGTTGTATGTTTTTACCGTGTAAAAGGATGTAAAGTGTAAAAAAGTGGGTCCCAATGCCAGCTTTCATCACTTTCAATTGTTTGTTTGTAGTCGTGAAAATAGTGTAAAGTGATTTCATATGCTGATGTGGCTTGTAAAGTGATTTCATAAAAAAAGGACATGATTTTAGAAGAAAGCTGACATTGAAGTTAGGAAAATTTAATAAAAAATAATTCTAACCAATATGATCATTTGAGTAGGGACCATTTTTTACACTTTCCAAACAAACAATTAAAGTTACATTTGCAAACCAAACAAGCAATTTATGATTCCAATGGAATCAAAAACAAACAAAGAAAAGTATAAAAGTGAAATTGATGAGGTGGACAACAACTTTCCAAGTTGTGTCATAAATATATAACTTTACCAACAACAACCAAACAGCCCCTAATGGTAAAAATGTCTGTCTTTATTTACGAGTAAACTCATCTCTTCAACTTTTTCTATAAATATCATACATTATCATATTTATATCATTATTAGACCATCAACTGTCACTTCATATTCTCCTCTTTCTCCAAACACATTAACAAGCCAACCAGTCATCTTTCTCGATTTCCCGTGTATCACACGGGATAGGAAAGTGTTCATATGTGAGAAAGTTACATGTGCAAGAATCATTAATAATATATTAATGACATTACAATGAAAAAAGCTTCACATGTCGAGTGGTGAGAGATTACAAAAGAAAAATTCCATGGGGACCCCAAATCCATGGGACCAGGAGGGGACAGGTGAGCTGTCACCTCCTGGTTGCATGATCTACTGTTCATGAACAGTAGATCATGCAACCAGGAGGTGACAGCTCACCTGTCCCCTCCTGGTCCCATGGATTTGGGTCCCTGTAGAACAACCCATTACAAAAACCTTCCCCCTTCTCTTTTCCTGAACCTAGGTACCTATTTTCCCATGCCTATTGTCCCTCTCTCTCTCTCTCTTTTAAAACTCATTAATAAACCACCCATCTCTCTCTCTCTCTCTCATGTGCATTGCACGGATAATAAACTATTCAAGGTTTTTTTGCGAGATAACCCATACTTGAGGTGGTGTTTCTCAAATTTTCTAAATTTGCGGTGGTTATCTGCAACACCCCAAATTTAAAGGGTATTTACTAAAATTAAGATAGTTGAGAGGGTTTTGCTAGAATTAACCCTTTATATCCCATTTGGCAAAAGGATTAAGGAACATGGATTAACGAAAAGGATTAACGTAATTAGCCTATTCGATAGTCCAAAGACTAAATTATTATCCCTTAAATAAGCTTTATTTTACGCGTTGTGATCATTTTTAGTGTTTGGGAATAACAATGATTTTGACTATTCTCTTTATAAATAGAATTATTAACTCTTAATCCTTCTGATTTAAAGTATTAGTAAACCTCTCATTTTGAGGGGTTAACTCATTTTAATCTCTCTAAAGGGGTTAGTTTAACCCTTATGTATTTTTCACATTTGACAAACTATAAAAGGTTACCTCACTTTATGTGTATGTTGCGCTTGGCAAACTATAAATGGTTAACTCACGTTAACCATTATATAAATTTCTTATATTTGACAAGTTAAGAAGGGGTTAAATTAGCTTAACCCCTCGATTAACCCACTGCCAAATAACACCTTATTATTTGTATTGAATGCTCGTGCGTGGCACTAGTAGCAAACTACTCATATGATAAGGTGAAAAAGTTGTAAAAAGCAATTGCATACTCAATATTCTTAGTCACGGAGAAAAATCATGCGCAGCAAAACTTTGTCAAAAGTTAAAAGATAAAGAGCTCGAGTGACGGTGGAGCACCCAAAAGGGGTCACAAAGAATTCAACACTGAAAACTTGTTCTCTTGTTGCTTGAAAAGTTGCTCTTCAACTGTTCGATAAAATGCCCATATGAGAAATCCCAACCTGAGTCGTCTGCAAGTGAAAATGTTTGTGTTTTAACAAAGTTCTAAATTTTTAGCAGTATTCTGCGCTTTTTTGTTAGCTTACACTTTAGACATTCCTGAAAACTAAGCAGGATAATAAATTAGATGAGAGATTAGCTTACTTTGCTTGGCATTTTCTTTCGTATATCATATGCATTGGCTCTAAGTCAACAGATATATTGTCATCAGATTCAGATGATCTTTATCATCCACATAGTTGAGGAATTGAGAAGGAAAATTAGTCAGATACAAAAGCATGTTATATCACACCCGGCACGTGCCTAGTCATTGGGGCTTTGGGCCTTGGTTGAAAGACCAAGGGTCGATTCGTGTTTATAACATTTCATATTCACGGTTTCTAATTATTAGGCATTACAATACTTGTGCTGTTCATCTCGGTTTGGATTGCGAAAGGTTGGCCCTAGGGGTCAGTCAAGGTTCCTCGCATAAAAAAGGCTATTATATTATCTGAAGAAGCGCTTCCTTGCTAGGAAAAAATTCTTGCTATAATAATTGGAGAGCTATTATATTAATCTGAATATATATAACTACATCAACTATTTAATTTTTTTTAAATATTTATTATCGTAAGTTCGTAACTACTACTCCTAGGTATATGAAATTTGAGTCTTCGATGCAACACATAGTTTTTCATTTAAATTCTGATTGTCAAGTTTTCAAAACTTTCTTCCGACCGGTTGTTGTCTCTACCTAAAATATAACGCATGTTTTAAATTTTTTTTTTTTTAGAACTCTTTGATTGTCAGATATCACTAGTTTATGAGAAACTTTTGAACCTAACATGGCTTAAATTGAATTCTAAGCTAAAGATGGCCGATGGATGCTGGAGGCATAATCAACCACACATTTTTTTCCCTAATTAATCATCACTGGAGTATAATCAGCCACACATTGTTTAGACAGAATGCACAATTTGTTGCTACATGTGGCATTATATGTATTAGGTTTTTATTCTTTCTTTGAGGTATCTACTATATGCATATGTTTGTATCTTTCTATTATGTAAATTGTTTCATTGTTATTGTTAGAATATAAAAATATAAACCTCAACTCTCACCACAACTTTGGAGTTTTAATGTAATTGTTAGAGTGATTTTAAACTGGTATCAAAGCAACCTATGTTCAAATTCAACATGCAACGAATTTAAAGAGGATTTTCTAAAAATTGACTCTGTTGCATGAGTCTAGGTTTCAACCCATAAAAAAGGACGTTCAACCTGCGAGAGCATGTTAGAATATAAAATTATAAACTCAACTCTCACAATAACTTCGGAGTTTTGATCTAATGGTTAGAGTATCGAAACATGGAGGTTTATATTTTTATATTCTAACATACCCTCGCAGGTTGAGTACCTTTTTTATGGGCCGAAACCTGGACTCACGCAACAGTGTCAGTTTTTAGAAAATCTTTCTTTGAAGTTATGGTGAGAGTTGAGGTTTATATTTTTATATTCTAATATGTCCCCGCAGATTGAGCGTTCTTTTTTATGGGACGAAATCTGGACTCACGCGATTATGTCAATTCTTAGAAAATCCGCTTAAAATTTGTGGCCAGTAGAATTTGAGTATGGGTTGCTCTAATACCAGTTTAAAGTCTCTCTAATTATTATACTAAAACTTCGAAGTTATAGTGAGGAGTTGAGGTTTATGTTTTTAAATCCTAACAGCTTTAATCCAATAAATAATATATTTGCAGAATTTAGAAAACATGCATCACATTTTGTAAAAAAAAAATTCATCCATTAACAAAATGCTACACATTTTATAGCAATTTAATAAGTATCAAGTAACTAATGCACATCAATGGGAGAGAAACTTGACGTATCAATGTATCATAGCCACGCACCACCTTGAGCAGCAACCCTATGAATCCCACACATCTGGATCCTGTGGGGGTGGGCTTGGGGGTGGGGGTGGGGGGTTATCTCTCTGTATCAGACTTCTCTTTACCTTTTTCTTTTTCTGTGTCTGCACGTGCCCGTTTTCTTTTTCTGTGTCTGCACGTGCCCGTTCTCTCTGTATCAGACTTTTCTTTACCTTTTTCTTTTTCTGTGTCTGCACGTGCCCGTGTATGTCTATGTGACCCCCTTACCCATACCTCAATATTTTTTTATAGGGAAAAATGGTTCTAGTTCCCAAAATCCAAGAAAACGTGTTTCCCCTCCTCCCTAAGACTTTGTTAACGGGTATTTTACCCTTAAAAATAAAGATTTTATTCGCTGAGCCCCCAAAACACAAAACCTAAGAGATTAAAACATGTGAAGACCATAATACTTTTCTTTCTCTCTCTCTCTCTCTCTCCATCTCTCTCTCTCTTTATCATGATGTTACTAATAATTGAAATGATTGATGGACATTGTTATTTTATTATTTTTGTTTTTTATTATTTTCGTTGTTGATGAGAGGAACTAACTGTTTTGTTTGTATTGGGAGATTGTTAAGTTTACGAGTCAATTATTAATGTTATGGATCACTTCATCTCTCTTTATATATATATATATATATATATATTAATATATAATTTATATATATATATATATATATAATATATATATATATATATATATATATATATATATATATATATATATATATAGAGAGAGAGAGAGAGAGAGAGAGAGAATTAATGGTATCCTTGTCATAGGAGAGGATTTCCTCATTGACGGCCTCTAAAATCACATGATTGAGCGATATTATGGATGATCCGTTCCGTTGAACTTGATCTACATATTCTAAAACCCTAACACACCAAGTTTGGAGTGAATCCGTCGTCGTTTGACCCTCCATTGAGCCATGTGAAAAGTTCTATTCATTCAAAACCGTTAAAATTGATACGAGTGGATGAAGGTCAACGACAACGGTTCACCCCAAACTTGTGTGTTGGATTTTAGAATATGTAGATCAAGTTCAAGCGAGCGGATCATCCACAATGTCGCTCAATCATGTGATTTTAGAGGCGTCAAGGAGGAAATCCCCTCCTATGACAAGGATACTCATTAACTAATCATATATATATAATTATATATTATATATATATATATATATATATATATTATAATATATATATATATATATATTATATATATATATATATGTTTGTATGCTTGGTACCAAAGCACAAAATTTGTGCTTGGTAGTGATGTGTCAAAATCTCATCCACTGCACTACCCATGTGAATTTGTTCCCGACATTTGAATGATGGAGAAGGATTTTGACACCTCACTACCATGCATAATTTTTTGTGCTTGGTACCACAGCATACCCATATTTCTCATATATATATATATAATATATATATAATATATATATAATATATATATATATATATATCATGATATTACTGTGATGATAATTAAAATGATTAATGGGGATTGTTATTTTTTTTATTGATGGGGAAATTGATTGTTTTTGTTTGTATTGGGAGATTGTTAAGATTACGGGTTTAATTGTTAAGATTACGAGTTTAATTGTTAAGGTTACGAGTTTAATTGTTAATTGTTAAGGATAATGATTGGTTATAAATGTTATGCATTGGTTGTGAATGTTGCGAGTTGGTTATTAAGGTTACGGGTTGGTTGTTAAGGTTATGAGTTTGTTGTGTAGGTTACGGGTTTGTTGCTAAGGATATGCGTTGGTTGTGAATGTTACGCTTTGGTTGTGAAGTTAACTTATACAACAAACCCGTAACCTTAATAATTACACCCGTAATCTTAACAATTAAATCCGTAATCTTAACAACAAACCCGTAACTTACACAACAAACCCATAACCTTAACAACTAACCCGTAACCTACACAACAAACCCATAACCTTAATAACTAACCCGTAACCTTAACAACCAACCCGTAACCTTCACAATCAATGCATAACCTTTACAACCAACCATTATCCTTAACAACAAATATTCTAAAAATATTTTTAGAATATTCGTTGTTAAGGATAATGGTTGGTTGTAAAGGTTATGCATTGATTGTGAAGGTTACGGGTTGGTTGTTAAGGTTACGGGTTGGTTGTTAATGTTACGTGTTAGTTGTTAAGGTTACGGGTTAATTGTTAATGTTATGGGTTTGTTGTGTATGTTACGGGTAAATTGTTAAGGATATGCATTGGTTGTGAATGTTAACGCTTTGATTGTGAAGTTAACCTACACAACAAAACTGTAACCTTAACAATTAAACCCGTAATCTTAACAATTAACTCATAATCTACACAACAAACCCATAACCTTAACAATCAACCCGTAACCTTAACAACCAACCTGTACCCTTCACAACCAATGCATAACCTTTACAACTAACCATTATCCTTAACAACGAATATTCTAAAAATATTCATGACGATGTCCATCAATCATTTTGGTTGTAAAGGTTATGCATTGGTTGTTAAGGTTACAGGTTGATTGTTAAGGTTATGGGTTTGTTATGTAGGTTACGGGTTTGTTGTTAATGTTACGGGTTTAATTATTAAGGTTACGGGTTTGTTGTGTAGGTTAACTTCACAACCAAATCGTAACATTCACAATCAACGCATATCCTTAGCAACAAACCTGTAACCTACACAACAAACTCATAACCTTAACAACCAACACGTAACCTTAACAACCAACCCGTAACATTCACAACCAATACATAACCTTTACAACCAACCATTATCCTTAACAACGAATATTCTAAAAATATAAAAATAATAAAAAATAAAAATAATAAAATAACAATGCCCATCAATCATTTTAACTATCATCACAGTAACATCATGATAAAAGAGAGAGAAAGAGAAGAGATCCATAACCTTAATAATTAAACCAATAACCTTAACAATTAACCCGTAACCTACACAACAAACCCATAACCTTAACAACCAACTCGTAACCTTAATAACTAACCCGTAACCTTCACAACCAATGCATAACCTTTACAACCAACCATTATCCTTAACAACGAATATTCTAAAAATACAAAAATAATAAAAAATAAAAACAATAAAATAACAATGTCCATCAATCATTTCAACTATCATCACAGTAACATCGTGATAAGAGAGAGAGAGAGAGAGAGAGAGAGAGAGAGAGAGAGAGAGAGAGAGAAGAGATCTATAACATTAACAATTAAACCCGTAACCTTAACAATTAAACTCATAACCTTAACAATTAAATTCGTAACCTTAACAATCTCCCAATATAAACAAAACATTTAGTTCCTCTCATCAACAACGAAAATAATAATAATAAAATAACAATGCTCATCAATCATTTTAACTATTAGTAACATCATGATAAAGAGAGAGAGGGAGGGAGAAAGAGAGAGAGAAGGGTATTATGGGTTTTGTGTTTTGGGACTTCGAGAACAAAATCTTTATTTTTTAGGGCAAAGCACCCGTTAACAAAGTCTTGAAGGGGAAACACGTTTCCTTGGATTTTAGGGGCTGAAAGCATTTTTCTCTTTTTATATTGTTTAGAACCAGATGGCCCAACTGCTTCCTAACACACTGCCGGCAAATTTAAAATAGAATAAGAATTAAATCAAATATACTGTAAAACTTTTTTCAAAAAAAGGCTCTTGAATAGCGTGTAAAGTCACGGATCGGCATGCGAAAACAAGGAATCATAAAAAAAAAGGAAAGTGTTGCTTATCATCATCCTCTGCCTTGCCGGTCTGTTCAAATGATTCCCCTTTCTCAATTTTAAATAAGGAAAATCACTAACGTGCATAAAGTTGCGCTCCAGTGTAAATGAATCATGGTCATCAATTTTGAAAATTCTAAGAGCTAAGAATTCCAAACAAAGATATTAATTAACAAGTCCTAATGCACCGACCATTCTGTTTTTACTTTCTTAGCTCTCACATCAAATGGTCTGCTCCCGGTTGCATACAAGTACAAACGAATCCTTGCCATAAATTTTGAAACATCTAGCGGTTGTTTGGCTAAAAACCAAAGTTTGGAAGATCACTCACGTGAAATAGGCTGTGAGATCCATTTTCATGTTTTCAAATTTATTTCGTAAATTTTTGGAAGTAAATGAGTTTTCTTACATTTGATATTCATGACATTATTAACTTACTTGTGGGTGGGTCCTATATACACAACATCTCTCTTTTTCTCTCAACCAAACACAAGAAAAACAAAATCAAACAACTTCATGTGAGTGTGTTGGATGTTTTGATTTCATTTTCTTAGTTTCTCAGCCAACCATACAACGCCTAAAGCAAAGGATTCCAAGGAGAGAAAAACCATTCGTTACCAGCTCCCACCATTTCCTTTTTTGATTGACTTTTGTTGGATAAATTTTCAAAACCAACATCTTTCCACATTTAATCCCCAAAAAAATCTATTTTGAAGTTATTTGCAAAAACCGATCTGGTTTCAGCATTGGCGCTGAAACCAGGTCGGTTTTTGAGAAAAAGAGTCCGAAAATTCACGGGAATTAAACTCCCGTGATGTTTAGCAAAGCTGCTAAACTTCACGGGAGTTCGGAAGTTTTTTTTCAAAAACAAACCAGGTCGGTTTTTGAAAATATTGTTGAAAGTGGTCTCCTTTTGAGATTAAACATGTAAAGAGGTTGGTTTTGAAAATTTGTCCTCACTTTGTTGTTTCTTTGTGCAGTTAATTTTCCTCATTGGTGTTTATTCGTAGAAAAAGAAGTTGATACTCGTATTCTCAATTTCAACCGCAGACTGCTGTTAGAAGTGGGATGGAGTGGGGTTTATCATAATAATCTGGAGTGTAGATAAAAATCCCCATTTCCTAGACTAGCTTTAAAGAGAATTAGGGTTCTCTGCGCTCTGCAGCTACCCGCAATAAAACTCCCTCGTTTACATCCGCCGCTAGCAAGCAAGCAAGCAAAACCGTGCCCCAAATCGACACCAATACGGTGGTGATCGGAGACGCGGCCGTCGCCAACATCATACAGAAGTCGGTGGAGATTGGGTCGGACTGTGAAGCATGAGCTTGGGAGGCCCAAGAAAGCTCTTCCTCGTGCGGTGGTAAGTGCTGGATCTGTCGATAGATCAAATTTCTATGATTGATTCGGTGTTTTTTTTTTTTTAAATAGATCAGCAACAGATGCCTTTTTCTATTTTCGATCTGTAAAAGACGATGGGTTTTCTTTCCCCACCAATTTGATACGCAGGCAGCGAAGGGAATGATCAGAGGAGAGCGCGTGGTTTTTCCTCTGCCTCCAAAAGAAGATTCGTCAATTTTAGTAAAAGAGCCTTTTTAAGTCAGATCCCGCCGTCGAGAAATCGAGGGAGACTATCAAGAGGCTAGATGGAGTCGCAACGGCTGTGGGAAGTTTCGGCGCCGCGATGAAAGAGGGCAAGCAACCGCGCCAACAGCGTCAAACTCGGGGTTTAACCGAGAGGAAGGCGGTCGGACGGCACAAAGAGAGGGAGGAGGTGCTGCGATGGTTGAAAGATGAGGATGAGAGCGGTAGTAATGTCTCTCTCTTCTTCTCCGTCGTGGGGCCGTGGAGGAGTGGGGAAAACCACCTTAGCTCAACTCGTGTACAATGATGAGAACTTCGCTAATTCTTTTAATCGCAAAATCTGGGCGTGTATCTCCACTCGCTTTGATGTCAAGAAGACCATGACAGGCGTGACAGAATACGCTGCAGAAAGTGGACCCGGAGTTGGGGGACTTGGCGCTCTGCAGGAAGCTCTTAAGAAGATGGTATCGTCTGTGGGATATTTATCCTTGTCTTGGACGATGCATGGAATGACGACAATCGTTCTGATCGGGATAAATTACTTGCTCCTCTGAGGAGCGGGCATAAAGGAAGCAAAACCTTGTTAACTACTAGAACGGAGAGGGTTGCAGAAACGGCTGCATCGGCTTCCGGAGGATCAACAAAGGAACCAATGAAATTAAAACCCTTAGATGATGACAGCTTCCTGTCACTTTTCAACCAATATGCATTTGCTGGTGAAAATTCATATGCTTATAGAAAATTGGAATCCATTGGCGAGCAAGTAGCAAGAAGGCTTGGGGGCTTTGCCGTTTGTCACAAAGACTATTGGAGCTCTGTTGAATTCTAAATTGGACGATAGTCATTGGACCCGAATCTTGAAATCAAGCTACCATCATTTACCAGTGCACCTAAGATCTTGTTTTGCCTATTTGAGCATCTTTCCTCAAGATTATATGTTTATCAAAGATGATCTAGTCTTCATGTGGACGGCTCTCGGCTTCATTCAACAATCTCCCCAATATCCAAGGGAGACACCGAGGATATAGGAAGGCGTTACTTTGATGATTTACTGAAGCTATCATGTCTCGAGCAAATATTACTACACAGATCACTACACCATGCATGCTCTTTTGCATGATCTGGCACGTAAAGTGTCTCATGATGAATGCTTTAGATTTGTCAAAGATAAGAAAATTGATCAGATCCCAAATACAGTACGCCATTTGTACTTCAAAATTGATAAACTTAGCCTTCTTAAAGATGTGGACAAATGGAAGAATCTACGCACCCTTGTGTTAATCTTCAGAGGATATGTTAATGAGCATGCTAAGGCTTTTGAAGAAGTGTTTAAATCACTGAAAAGCATTCGGGTGTTGTGCCTAACTATTGACGGCATGAAAGTATTGCCAAATGCAATTGGTAACTTGAGGCATCTCAGGTACTTGTCAATTCATCATGATATTCCTCGGTTGCCTGGTTCATTCTGCAAGCTTTACCAGCTGCAGGTTCTGGCTAGTGAAAAATTTTCTACTGAGTCTGTTCTTGGCTTGAATGACCTCATTTGTTTGAGACACATGATCACAAGTTATGTTTATTATGAAAAAAATCGAAGGGATTGGAACACTGACTTCATTTCAATGGTTGTCATTCCCTGCTAATGCATGAAAAATTAGCAAAATGAAGGACCTGACAGAGCTCCATGTAACTGATGATCAGTGGCCTTATGAATGATAAACCTTGCGAGGAAGTTAGTATGATTGAGTTGCATGGAAAAAAAAAACCTCATCAAGTTACAGTTGGTTTGGTCTTTGGTCTGATCATGGTGATGTGGCGGATGAGTACGAACTGGTTCTTGATTGCCTACAGCCACCCGATGGCCAAGGTGCCAGGTCTCCATGTTAGATGGAACCAGAATTATTAAAAATCTATGAAATGAGGTCTCCTGAGGGTCTATTGTTGTGACTCGAGTATCTGGTTCACTTTTTATTAAGTTAAGGCCTGACATATCTTTAGATATCTCGTCTAATCTCTTATTTAGTTTATTAATCATGTCACCAATCTCATGGTAGAAATGGATGGCAAGAGAATAAATGAGGGAAGCTACAACATACCATTGATGAATCAGATGATGTAGACGGTAGCTAGATGGCCAACCGTCTACATCATCTGATTCATCAACGGTATGTTGTAGCTTCCATCATTTATTCTCTTGCTTTATTAGCATCCATTTCTGCCATGAGATCGGTGATATAACTAATAAATTAAATAAGAGATCGGACGAGATATCTAAGGATATGTCAGTCCTTAACTTAGTGAAAAGCGAACCAGATACTCGAGTCACAACAATGGACCCTCAGGAGACCTCATCAATCCAGATCCTTTCTTTTTCGCATTGTGGTGAATTGGACAGTCTCTTTCCTACATTATTAATGCAAGGTGGCCTAACTTGTCTTTAAATATTGAGTTGCATGGTTGTAACAACATAATGTCCTTTCCCTCTGAAGAGGCCTGTGGAGTCTGTGGACGATTAACTTCACTGAGTCGGCTGACGCTGATAAAGTGTGGAGAGTTGACATCCGTTGAGGGTTTAAAGGCTCTTCCCCACCTCCATGTGCTTACTATTTATGACCGTCCCAAACTTGTGCAAGCAGTTGCAGCAGCAACCTCGACGTCAATCAAGTGGAAGGAGGAGGAGTTCACATTAACCGTTGACAAACTTGATATCGATGACCTTTTGCTGCTGCACATAGAGCCGAGCCATTGAGAAAACTCACATATCTTAGACAGGTGCATATAACAGATTGTAGTCATCTCGAGGGTGCTCACACAGAGTCATGGTTGCTGCAGAACACGGCTTCACTTCAATGTCTCTATCTGAATAATATTGCAAAGAGCTTGCCTTGTAGCCTCCAAAATCTCTCTTCCCTCAAGTACTTAGAACTTACTGAAGCTTATGAGCTTCAGTCATTAGCTCAACTGCCTTCGTCTCTGCCAAAGCTGAAGATTTGGAACTGCAACGGGACACTGAAGGAGCAGTACCGGGAGAAAGAAGGTGCCTATTGGCCCAACATCCAACACATCCGTTTCGTTAGGATAAGTTGATAGGTACAATCTCTCCTCTCCCAATCTTGCCATATTATAAACTGAAATTGATTCTTGATGCATTTGTCTTCTGTTGTTGTTTCTTTTCTGTTGTTTAAGTTGCGTATAATCAATGATCCACTTTAGTCATGGAATTTTTATTAGCATTCATGATCTTGCCGAATTATTTTGAAAGTTTTGTTGCTTTATCTTGATCATCGGCAACTCTTTTCATCCATGAATTGTTTCATATATTTTTCAGTTCTCTCTCTTTTTTACTTTTCTTTCCTGTTTACTTTGAACTATCTTTTAAGGTTAATGAAGATTGCTTTTAACTAAAGACAATGTTTTCGATTTTCTATCACATCCTTCTCTTAATTCCATATTCACCTTTTATTTCTTGATATGGTCTCTTAGTTTCAGTAATTATCCAAAGTAAATAGCAAAAATAATCACTAAACTAAGTTTGGGCTCTACAAAGAATCATTTTCCATGAACAAAAAAGTTGTTAAAAATATGTTTAAAGGTGAGAAAGATTGGGTGCTTTTACTCTCTGACATTTAATATGGGGAATGCTTGAACTCTCTGACAAAGTTCTTAGTTTCATATGTTACAAATTTATTTCCCCACCCAAATTCTGACTTCTGATTGTATGTTCATCTGTATTCTAATGTTCAAAATTTCAGTAACATATGGGTGGAGTGGGTTTTGTCGATTCCTTTGTTTAAACTGCAAACTGTAACTCCATCAACTCTTCAGTAACTCCTAAAGAAACTGACTGATGATTGAATGTACCAAATAATTTGTCGTAGTTTAAGAGTAAGCTAAAGTATCTATTCTCGATTTAAATGATCAATGTGATCTGACCTTTATAATAATTCACCATACAATATTGACTCCTATAGCATTACATAATACTCTTTTGGGATATGTATCCAGTGCATTACATAATACTCTTTTGGGATATGTATCCAGTGCAAATTTTCTCTGTATACTTATGTGGATGGGGCACTCACATGATTTGGAATTGCAGAATGTTGATGCACCTAACGCGTAACCACCATGGAAGGCTTGACATTCGACATATTTAACATTTTTCTTATCTTGAGCTTGATGATGCCCAAATGTCCCAATATCTATTTTAGTTGCTCAAGAGAGAGAATTAAAATATTTTATTTCACGGTGGGAGATTAATACATTTCTATTTTGTAGTGTCATTTCTGGCAAAGCTATTGATGGGTTCAACTGCAGATAAGCAAGACGCAGGGCAATGATCCTTTTCTGTTTCAAACAGTATAATGCAATCGTGAGAGTAATTAAATCATGGAGCTCTTTCTTGGTCAGTGAATTGTTATTAGTTCCTTGTTGCTAAACTTATTTGCTTAGAAAAAGAGATTATATATCTACGGGTGAACCAGGGTTGATTTGTCCCTTTAATCCATGGTGTTGATTGGTGTGGCACTAACACTACGCATCCAAGCCATCAGCTGTGATCTGCCCATGTTGATGATCTTGGTCGTAGTGGCTCGATATTTGATGCATAGCAGCCAACACTTTGGAGATACATCACATTGCGTACACATACATGCACACATTCACAGTGAATTGGTGGATAACTATAATTCCTTGGCTACTGTGATACTTATATGTACAAAAAAACCCCTGCCAAAAAAAAAAGAAGAAGAAAAGAAGTTTTCTGCGCATCTCACTGATGAGATTAGACTTTTGGTAGCTCCTCTTATCCATCTCCCAGATTTTCCTTTAACCAACTGACATTTCCTAATAACCCTCAACAATCTGATACATGGATAACTACTCCCACAAAATCTCTGGGATATTCTCTTGGTTGATGTTGTCCAATTTGGTTCATTGTTATCTGAAAGAGTTCTGGGTTTAAATGTCATTTACAAACATTTTGCGGGTTATCCCAAAATGCGCCAAATTTCTAGGGGGCTTTTGTGAAATTTACCCAAGATAATCCATATCCGCAATATACCTAAATCATAGGTGGACAGATTGGATATACTACATGTCAGCATCACGCCAACTAAGGTATTGAAGTGGTACAATAGCCTGATTTACCCAAATATTTTTCATGTAATGCATATTTATTTAGCCCATTTCTTCATTTTTGCTGACTTGGTGCCTGCCCTGAATGAAGGATGCTTTGATGCTCTCTATTGACCGGAAAGGATTGGATATCCTCAGCAAAGTTGCTCAACAAGCAGTGACGGCCTTAGCACGATGTGGAAGGAGTTCAGGTTCAATTTTGAAAACGAGGCAAGTGATCTTTAAGCTTTCTATTCAGAGTGTTAAAAGCTACAGTGGGCTTGGCTGAAGAAGTAGACAGTTTCACTACAAAGTTTTCTTTTGACAGTCATCTTTAGTGGGGGTTGATGTTGCAAAGAGATTGAAGGCTATCTGAACATTTGCTTGATAAGTTTGTATCAGTGATCCTTTAATGCAACAATATGTTTGTTTTACTGGAGAGAGTTGTGTACAAGATTTTTATCTCTAGAAAGTAGATTTTGTCTTCTGTTGTTATAACATTGCATTTTGAGCTTTCATGCCATCATTGCCCATCATTTTCACCACAATTATGTTAAAATTCATTAATCCTCTCATAAATAAGTCATGTTAGCTGCCTCTCTTTTCCAAACCAATTATATCCCTCCCAAATTTATGCTTATGGCACGAATAACACACTACTCGCTTGCTTCCCAAATCTCTAGTTTTTTTTTTCTATCACCAAAATACAAACCACATCTCTTTCCCCTTCTTTAATTTTTACTTGTAATGCACAATTTTACTGAAGAACCGATTATTTTAAAATGATAAATCTTACCACAAGAAAAGATTAGCATGTGGAAAAATATTACGCGAACCCTCCCCCTTTTATTCTCTCTTTCCCAAATCCTAGTTCTTTTCTAAACCATTAACAAACCAGCCGAACATTTCTCATGAATTCTTAAGCGTTGCACGTATAACAAACTACTCATATAATAAGCAAAACACAAATGAGAAAACATTTCCACCTGCTCGCCAAATCTCTACGCCTTTTCCTCTGATGATCAAAATACTAACCATGTGTCCTTTCCCTTCATTCAACTACTATTTGCGCTTGTACAATTTTAACGGAAGAATCAACTGTACATTTCAAAATCATAACTTCGCTTGTTTGCAGAAATCATTCCCAAATCAGAAAACATTCGACATACACAAATTACTACTGAAATACAACATTAAAACTACGCAACATATCAAGCACGTGAACTGAAGCACCTGCAGTATAAGAGCTTCACGTCGTTATCTGCTCCCAACCAAAGTGAAGCGAGTAACAGAGCAAATAAAAGGCAACAAAGTATTTATGGAATATAACATTACTATATTAGCTAACCAAAAGGTATCAAATGATAGTCATAACATCCTCCCAAGCCACAAAAAAATTGGGGCCTCCTACTAGAAGCCAGACCAAATTGTTCAACCAAAACAGCACGTAAAAAGACTTGAGAGGAACCACATCAAAGAGAACTATCAGAAACTGAGCAGCAGCTGGCTTAATCGACCTCCTCGATCTTGGGCCCAGCGCCGCTCCCACCAGCGGGAGCAGGACCATCCGCGTCCATCCCAGCCCCCATGTCAGCGCCAGCTCCCTGGTACATCTTGGCGATAATGGGGTTGCAGATACCCTCAAGCTCCTTCATCTTGTCCTCGAACTCGTCGGCCTCCGCCAGCTGGTTCGCGTCGAGCCAGTTGATGGCCTCGTCGATCGAATCCTCAATCCTCTTCTTGTCATCAGCGGCCAACTTGGAGGCAATCTTCTCGTCCTTGACCGTGTTCCTCATGTTGTAGGCGTAGTTCTCCAGTGCATTCTTCGCCTCGACCTTCTTCTTGTGCTCCTCGTCCTCCGACTTGTACTTCTCTGCCTCCTGCACCATCTTCTCAATCTCCTCCTTGCTCAGCCTGCCCTTGTCGTTGGTGATGGTGATCTTGTTCTTCTGTCCGGTGGTCTTGTCCTCAGCCGAGACGTTGAGGATACCATTGGCATCAATGTCAAAGCACACTGTGATCTGAGGGACTCCACGAGGTGCGGGAGGGATGCCAGATAGCTCAAACTTGCCGAGCAAGTTGTTGTCTTTTGTCCTCGCCCTCTCTCCCTCGTAGACCTGGATCAAGACTCCGGGCTGGTTGTCCGAGTACGTGGAGAACACTTGCTCCTTCTTCGTCGGAATGGTTGTGTTTCTTGGGATCAACACGGTCATCACTCCTCCAGCGGTCTCCAAACCTTGAGACAAAGGAGTAACATCCAAAAGCAACAAATCTTGGACCTTCTCGTTACCTTCGCCACTCAAGATGGCGGCTTGGACGGCGGCACCATAGGCAACGGCTTCATCAGGGTTGATGCTCTTGCAGAGCTCCTTGCCATTGAAGAAGTCCTGCAGCAGCTGTTGAACCTTGGGGATTCTAGTAGACCCACCGACGAGGACGACATCGTGGATGGTGCTCTTGTCCATCTTGGCATCCCTCAAGCATTTTTCGACCGGCTCCATGCACTTTCTGAAGAGATCCATGTTGAGCTCCTCAAACCTGGCCCTTGTGATTGTCGAGTAGAAATCTATACCCTCGTAGAGAGAATCAATCTCGATTGTGGTTTGGGCGGTGGAGGAGAGGGTCCTCTTCGCCCTCTCACAAGCTGTCCTCAACCTCCTGAGAGCTCTGGGGTTGCCCGTGATATCCTTCTTGTTCTTCCTCTTGAACTCCTGAACAAAGTGGTTTACCATTCTGTTGTCGAAGTCTTCTCCTCCGAGATGGGTGTCTCCAGCAGTAGCCTTGACCTCGAAGATTCCCTCTTCGATGGTGAGAAGAGAGACATCAAAGGTACCACCGCCGAGGTCAAAGATGAGTACATTCTTCTCACCGACACTGGTTGCCTTCTTGTCAAGACCATAGGCAATGGCAGCAGCGGTCGGCTCATTGATAATCCTCATGACGTTTAGTCCTGCAATGACACCGGCGTCCTTGGTGGCTTGGCGTTGAGAGTCGTTGAAGTAAGCAGGAACTGTTACCACAGCGTTCTTAATAGTCGAACCAAGGTAAGCCTCGGCGATTTCCCTCATCTTAATCAAAACCATTGAAGAAATCTCCTCAGCAGCAAACTGCTTCTCCTCTCCCTTGTACTGAACAACAATCATGGGCTTGTCACCAGGGCCAGGAATGACCTTGAAGGGCCACAACTTGGCATCGCTCTGGACAGAGGCATCACTGAAACGCCTCCCGATCAAACGCTTTGCATCTGAGAAAGAGATCAACTTAAACATATTAGAATATTTGAACACTTTCGAAAAGGGATAGAACATTCAATGCAAGGAGATCTTCCAATATAGAACATACAATGCAAGGATAGTAACAGTTAGATAAAATAGCAGTTCTAAGGAATAAAAGCCATAAATTAGAACCCAAAAGATACAAACAAATGGTGAGATCTTCCAATATAGATTTTCCAGTTTCAATAAGTTCGACTTACATTTATAAACCCAAAAAAAATGTAGACTAATTGATACTTAGAAACATCAAAAATAGACCAGAAGAGTATTAAAGAATAATCGCTGGACATGACCGGTTCCAAGCCCTACCGAACTACTTTACATATAGAGCTCTAAACACCGAGGAAGTTGGTCAGATATTGGCTAGTTTGGTATTTATTCCTCCAGCTACTTGATCAAATTTGATTAGAGAGAACATTTAAGAGAAATCAAAGAATTTTCATAGTCTGAATGCTAAATGAATCAAATGTAATGCACTCACATACTCTGATTCATACTTTTAATCAATTGTCAAATATTGTTTAAAGTTTAATCCCTTACAGTTTATAATCATATGCATGATATTATGTCTTGATCACTTTTATTTTTTTAAGAAATAAAATACTTGTTAATCAAATAGTTTAATCATATATATAAAATATAGACTACGAAATCAAATAGTTATATTTTAACGTTGGGCAATATTCACCAAATCGTAGGAAACTTTTGTCCAAATTCGGATTTGATCAAATTTAAAGAATAAAACTTGAATTAGGATTCTAATTATAAACTTTAAACAAACAAAATGAAAGGCACAATATTATTTTCTATTCAGTTCAATTCCACTCCTATTAGATGCACTTAAATGTGTATAATTTAACGTATCAGATTAAATTCTAAAGCTTGGAAGAAAATAAAATTAGACGGTGAAAATTCGTATTAAAACAAATGTCAAATCATTAAATAGAATACAAGCAAAATAATAAAAATAAAATAAAATAAGAAGAACGTCTTATATTAACAAAAAAATTAACAATTGCCGGGAGGGCGTAGATCTGAATTGATAGAAATTGGTTCAGGTTTGAAATAATCATCTATTTGAGCAAGTTTAATAATAAATACAAATCAAATCGGCATATTATCCAAAACTAAAGCATATTAACCACAACTACTAATCCCGTATCTAATTCAGCAGTAACAGAATAATAATGGAATTTTTAAAAAGACAGATCCAAGCCCAACACACAAACTCCTAATTCGTCCACAGATCTAACCAAGTAACGTCCAGATCTACAAAAACCAAGCTTTTCTAGATCTAAAACAACAGATCCAAGCAGGTCCGGTCAGAGATCGAGAGACTCACCGAACACAGTGTTGATCGGGTTCATGGCGACCTGATTCTTGGCCGCATCTCCGATCAGCCTCTCGGAGTCGGTGAACGCCACGTAGGACGGCGTCGTTCTGTTCCCCTGATCGTTGGCGATGATCTCCACCCGATCGTGCTGCCATACTCCGACGCACGAGTAAGTGGTGCCGAGGTCGATGCCTATGGCCGGACCCTCGCCCTTTCCCGCCATCTGAAAAATCTAGCCTAATCGAAGTAAACTGGGGCAAAAACGCGACGAGATTTTGAGGTTTTGTGGTGTTGAAACCCTAGAAAGAGATTTTAGTGGAGGAGGAAGGGGGGAGGGCGGGGAGGTTATATAAGCTTTCGACGGGCGGGTTCTAGAAATTTCCAATGGATCTGGGCCGTCGGATCAGATAACTGGTTTGGACGGGCCGTTGGATTTCCTGGGGAGCGGGGTCTTCTCGGTTTCTAGACGGTTCGGTGGCGCGTAAAGGACCGCGTGGTCAAAATTGTGGGAGGTCGGCAGATGTTATTGGACCAGGATCATGGAAGGTGAGCCGATGGCAATTCGGTGGAGTTTGACTCAGTTTGTTCATTGTGGTAGTGGGCTGAGATTGGTCCACAAAGCCAGGTAATTGGGCCTTAAGTTGATGGGCTTTTGTCTCTAATAAGGCACCTGATGTTCTAATTTACATTTCTCTGTTTGTTCAGGCGCTGTTTGGTTCACTATTTTTCTTTTTCTTTTTCCTTTTGAAAAAAAATGGAACAAACATTACACTAGATGCCAAAATAAGATTCCTATTCTGTTGTTTATTTGAAATAAAATTTAATAAATGATTTTTATAAAGTGGGAAAAACAAATCGTTTCCGAGGAAACTCTCGTGTTTTGTTTGTCAACTTGAGCAACAAATATTTTCTCTTGTCGTATTAATGTATTGTCCAATACCCGCGAATCTGAAGCAGACTCTTCCCAATCAGCTAGAACATATGTGAATTTCAAGTCAAAGGTGCAAGCGGCAAGCACATTTTGAGTTGGAAATTCTTTTCGGCCTCGATACCTTCTTGTATCTTCTTTTGCCACTTTCACTTGAAAATGAGATCCATCAATTGCGCCAATACAATTCTATAATAGATTAACAAAGTGATTAGCAACTTGACTATTATTATCATGATGTAATATTTATTACAAAAAAATTATATTTTACCTTGAAATAGGGCCAGAATCTATGATTTGTCTGTAGTGGAGCTTCGAAGCCATCTGGTTGTTTAATAAATTGATCCTCAAGAGATCGTAATGCCTCTAATACTTTGTGAAAGTGGCGGCTAACAGTCTCACCCGAACGCATAAAATAGAACTTCACTGTTCGATTCTTCTAGTTATGAGAAAGAATTTGAAGGAACTTAGCAACTTGTTCCTCTACAGAACTGTGTCTATTATCATAAAGATGTCTCGTCTCCCTAAGTAAATGACACAGTCTAGCAAAATCATTAACTCCCATGCGTAGTTGTTTACGATAATCTCTATCACTTTGTTGAGTAAGTCGCTCCATAAGTAAGTTCCTATGTTCATCTTTTTGAGCTAAGATTATCACTTTGTTGAGTAAGTCGCTCCATAAGTAAGTTCCTATGTTCATCTTTTTGAGCTAAGATTGATCTATCTATATACTCCACTTCATCTTTTTGAGCTAAGATTGATCTATCTATATACTCCACTTGGTAGATATTAGTTGTCATAATAGCACATGCATATGTTGCACATGTAGCCACAATCCCCGCTGAATATTTTATCTTTTCCCTTTGTATAGCCCATTCATCATATTTTTTTTTTGTCTACAAATTCAAACACTTTCTATAGTAAGCATGTCACAATCATAACCAACCCTCAAGAGAGAGAAACTTTGGATTTCATGAAAATAACGTGGTGTTTGTCTCTCTCTCTCACCAAATAATCTTGATACCTAGGTACAAACTTTAACTACCGGTGCACGCGAGAAATAAAAGTTAATACAAAGAGTCACAATCCATTAAAATATCAAACTATGATATGCTATAATCTTGAACTTGTATTATATCCAAATTCAGAATGGCCATCACTGACAAAGAATTAAGAATCTAAAGCGCAAATGTCTTGGGGCCATACCTTGTTCTCTTCGTTGATACAAGTAAACAAACAGTGAATCAGTATACAATTTTTCACTTGCCTAAGACCCTTGTAGTACATCCAAATTCAGCTTGTATCCAACTAATTGACTAAGTGCTAAACACTTCGTACACAGATACAATATTAATCATCAGGACAATGGTTAGCCAAGAATTTTTCTGATGGACAAATTTTCAAAACCAACCCATTTGAGTTTTTATTTGCAAAAAACGACCCGTTTCTAGGATATTTGCAAAAACCGACCTAGTTTCAGCGTCAGCGCTGAAACCAGGTCGGTTTTTGAAAAAAAAATTCTGAAACTTCACGGGAGTTGAACTCCCGTGAAGTTTAGCAGCTTTTAATTAATCTCCTAAACTTCACGGGAGTTCAACTCCCGTGAAGTTTCTTAGTTCAAAAAAAAAAAAATAAATAAATTGTGAAACTTCACGGGAGTTGAACTCCCGTGAAGTTTAGCAGCTTAATTAAAAGCTGCTAAACTTTACGGGAGTTCAACTCCCGTGAAGTTTCAGAATTTTTTTTCTTCAAAAACCGACATGGTTTCAGTGCTGAGGCTGAAACCAGGTCGATTTTTGCAAATTTGTTTGAATGAGGTTGTTTTTTGACAATAAATTCCTAAACGGGTTGGTTTTGAAAATTTGTCTTTTTTCTGATACAAAACAACTACCTTTCATTTAGGCAGATACAAGCGTACTTGTCAAGTAACGAGGAAGACACTTTTACAAATTGATTTAAATAATAAAGAAAAAGAAAAACTCCATCTTTTTGCATTCGATCAGCAAATATGTGTTGCACTGGAGGTAACAAATCCATAAATACACATTCTCATGTTATTAGAGAATGTATAGGCAATATCTTTTCATCCTCTGTACATGGACTTAGTACCAGACCCCATCTTTTTGCAGTGACGCAAACTAGATTGTCATAAATCAAGCCTTGGGGTTGCAGATGAGTTAAATTATGTAATTAATGATATATTACAGATTCTTAAGAAAAGAAAAACTCCAGTGACTTATCTCTGTAAATTAAACAATATATAGCATAAATAAAGGTGAATTAAAACTAGGCTAAATATAGTAACCCCCTGCTTAATCCAACCCAAATTAAACTTCAAAACCCAACAAAAATATGAGCAGAATTTACCTCGGATGAATTTGGATTCATGTTGACAGAGAGATCCAAGAGAAACATGCGGTTGAAATCTGGAGCGGATCGAAAAAGATCAAAGCTATCACCAAAGACAAGCCTAATTCGAGTAAACCAAACAAAAACATCAATTCAGACAATTAATTGTACTGTGTTATTGTAAATAAATCAAAATAACAATCCAGACAATGAATCGAAGCTTACCCTCGGATCTTCCCCCGTATTACGCGATCGGCGATGAACGATCCATAGAAGAGCGAGGGAATGTTCGTGATCTCAAGCTGACGAGAGCTCGATTGGAGAAACCCTGGTTTGGTTGGCGTCGATCTAGGGTTTGACCGAGAGAGAGAGAGAGAGAGAGAGAGAGAGAGAGAGGGAGAGAGAGGAGCCGAAAGAGAAAGAAGATGGACTCGAGCTTTGGAGGCGACGAGGAGAGATCGGGGTCGCGTCGGGCGAGCGTTTCCGTCGCTCTCCCTCGTTTTCACCAGGCAGCGGAGAGAAAGGGGGAAAGAAAATATAGATATTGGTTTTTCTACAGTGAAATTTATTTTCTTTTTCTTTTTTGTTTTCTTTCAAAACAAACAGTAAAAACTCACTTTCTCTTCTATTTTACTTTTTTTTTTCTCTCATTTTCTCTCAAACCAAACATAGCCTATTCTTTTAACACCTCATATAATGTCAAAAGACAGAAGAAAACATAAAAATTACGCAATTATTTCTGAGCTAAAGCCTCTGAATTGCCATCATCATATCATCCTGACCCCGCCCGATGACGGTTCGGGTCAACCCCCCAACCTCTTTCGGACTCGAATCCAAACGGCCACCAAAGGCCGGCCTCCTTCCAATAATTCGGACTCGAGTCCGAATTCTTCCCGCGCGCCCATAAATCAATCTCCAGCCGCCCACCACAATCGAACGGTCCCCAAACGAACACGTCAACCCCCCACAAACCCTAAAAATCTCCCTATATGATATCTCCTAGCTCCAGCGTCCTCCTTCCTTTCGAAACCCCAGCGGACTCTCTCGCCTCTCTCCGCTCCTCTTCTTCTCCTCAAAGTCTCGATCCAGATCCAAGCAATGGCGGGAAAAGGCGAGGGTCCAGCTATAGGTATTGATCTCGGCACCACTTACTCCTGCGTCGGAGTATGGCAACACGATCGAGTGGAGATCATCGCCAACGATCAGGGGAACAGGACGACGCCGTCGTACGTAGGGTTCACCGATTCCGAGAGGTTGATCGGCGACGCGGCCAAGAATCAGGTCGCCATGAACCCGATCAACACTGTTTTCGGTGAGTTTTCTCAGATCCGATGAGCTTATCGATGTCTAAGTTGTTGAAAGCTGCAGTTTTAGCTTCTTATGTGTTGGATCTGAGATTTTATTTGTAGATCTGCAGTAGTAATGAGTAATTCGACTTGATTGCCTAGAGATCTAGTCTTTTTAGACTAGATAGTTGAGTTTAGGCCGCCATGAACCCGGTTAACACTGTTTTCGGTGTTTGCCCCCCATATTTGTTTGGTTTGTCCATGTTTTCGCGGTAAAGGCGGTAACTTTAGCTCCTGATGTGTTGGGCAATTGATTCAAGTTTAGATCTCAAGTAAACTTGCGCTTGATTTAAGAACTGACGAGTTTATAGCTTTTAATATTGATAGATCATGTGTTCATCTATTGAGTTCTTCATATGAGTGTAGATGTGTGGCTTGAGTGTTCGGAAGAGTTTAGTCAACTGAGTTTGGACGTATAGCATAAAAATGTGTGGAGTTAAAAGCTACTGACTTGTAGATCCATGATTATTCTATAGATTTCTTTGAGGATTAAGGTAGTGGTGTGGGAATCTGTGGGGTTACGTTTGGTACAGTTCTGTTAAATCTTACTCTGCGATGGATCTTCGATTGTGTTGTGAGTTGGAAGTATTTGTGCTAGTATTTTCTACAGAAACTTATTGGTTTGATTTTAATTAACTGCTAATATTATTTAGTATGATCAATCATATTTATTATTTGTTATTTTATAACTGATAAAAACTTAATATTGGGCAGTAATATGTATTTTCAAAGATTTTTGATAATTATTGTGATAACAATTAGAAATGTGTAATAAATATAAAATGGAGTAGATCTTTGATCAAATATGTAGTTGCTTTATCGTGTCACATCTGACGAAGTCTTTGTAGTTTTATCTTATTGAGACTTGTCTTATTTTTTATTTTTAGCTTTTGTTTGGAGATCAAGCTTTGATTGCTGCATTCCTTTGTCATATGATATACTTGGTATATATCTACAGTGCATATGATTCTCTAAACTAATTTACGCTATTCTTACTTTGAGAGCAAGGGTCATGATTTATATATCAATTTATGTCTCTGTTCTAGATGTTATTTTGGGTGTATAACTTGCAACTTGTAAAAAGATTATTGTATTATTTCTTGATAATTTTCAGATTACTGATAATTCTAGTTGAATTAGGAAGAGAGTTAGTCTAGCATTTATGTACATGCATAAGGTTAGAAATTATTATATATTTTAGTAGTTCAATAATGGTATCATTTGTAATTTTTTTAAAAAACTCAAATCAAATACACGCTGATGCATACCCTAATTGAAGCTGTGAAATTAATGTTATGGTCTTGTGTCTTTATCCAGTTCTTTTGACTGTCCTTGTATCCAATACAGTTTATGTGCATATTATTGATTATTGATAAAATTATTTTTGCACATATTCTTTGGGTGTTATACATATAATTGTTATGGTATCTCTAGTAATTGTTTTAATACCTCATGCGATGTGAAAAACCTTTGCGAAGAGGTACGATCTAATTAGATTTCATAAACTTGTACTTAACTATAACTAGTGCGCGAGTGGCTTTATTAAACAAGCTATCGTACGTGACACCAACATAATAGATGCGGTGGTGGATTTGAACCACTGGGATGTGGATTTCTCGTGTGTATTTTATGAGCACATAGAGACGTGTATTATCAGATTGTAAAGAAGTTTAAATACTTGAATCACTTCCAAGACTTCTGGTCAAAACTTTCTGAATAGAAAAACCTTCAACCGAATTCACCTGAGATAAGGATGTAATAAAAGAGAGGATTCTTGTAAGACTTTAGATTCTTGGCCTAACTAATAAGTTTTCTTTTCTACACAATGGTTGCACATGCATTTCCTATTTTAAGAAATAGGACATCGTCATATTTGCTTTCTTTTCATTGGGGCTATTCTCAGAAAGAGACAAGTGACTAGTCAAGGAGGCTTTCATATCAAATTATTAATTTCATATTCCTACAAATATAAACCTTATTTGCCTTGCACTTAATTATTCAAAAGTGATATTAGTGAGATAGATTGGGTTCCTTGTCTAGAGCCTATTATTAGTCAAATTAATTCTCTCGATTAATATCAATCAGTAATTTTGATTTAATTGTCAACTACTTATCCAACTAAATGTTCATAAAAGCTCTATCATAATACGAGGATAATGTTTAGAAACATTGTCCAACATTCAAATCCTTCTAGATTGTCATGCAGTTAAAGTCTCCTTGGCTAGTCACTTGTTAATTTGTAGGAATATTCTCACATTGGAAAGAAAGCAAACATGAGAACTTTCTTATTACCATAAATATGGAAGGCATGTGTAGTATGGAAGAAGAGAAGACGAGTAAGCAGTACTTGGATCCATAAGTAGGTTTTGAGGAAATTCAAATTTTAAGTCGATTCTGTCTCTTATATTGCACCCTCGTTGTGATGGATGGATTCAGTGGAGGAATTTTCTCTAGAGCAAGCTTTGAGTTGATCTTGATATTATGGTTGGAGGTTTAGAATCGATTCAAGTATTCTAAACTCTTATATATTTGCAGAAAATAATACATGGATACGTTCATCCATTACAAAGAGCTTGTATGAGGGGATCATATTTCTCATCTTCTGAGTCCATTTTGAGTTCGTGTATAATCTAGAAACTTCACCCCTTACTAATTTCTGTTCTTCAGTGCGTGTTAGACTGAAGCAGGTCATATATTGTTTATTCCCTGCTTACACACAAATTATAATTAAACTTGTCAAACTTAAACACAAATGTATATTGTATAGTTTATCTCTTTTTGGTAGTTCTTATACCTTGTCCAGCTTTTAGATCTGTTTGTGAAACTAATAATATTCTATCAACCTGATATTGATCATTGCTGCTCTTATAGGCTCTCTCTGTTTTATTTTGTATCAAGTACTTGTTTTCTTTGTTACAGCTAGGCTAATAACATTATTGAAGTCTGAGCTTCCCTGCTCAAATATAGCACGTCAATCTTGAATAATTTATATGTTAATTATGCTTGATACTTTAGATATTTGGGTAAAGTTTGTATCTACGAACTCTGTGTGTGTTTTTTTTAATTGGGTTGTGTTGGGTAAGGTGAGGTTAATCATATTATAGTTTCAGGCAAAAAGGTTTTTCTTTGTATTATCTCAATGTCTACTTTATCAAGCTTTGTCTATATGTTATTCTTGGATCAAACTCTTTCTTACATCATTGTTTCTCGTCTATTTTCACTGATAAGTATTAATTTCGATACCTCTGTCTCAGATGCAAAGCGTTTGATCGGGAGGCGTTTCAGTGATGCCTCTGTTCAGAGCGATATCAAATTGTGGCCCTTCAAGGTCATTCCTGGCCCTGGTGACAAGCCCATGATTGTCGTTCAGTACAAGGGGGAGGAGAAGCAGTTTGCTGCTGAGGAGATTTCTTCAATGGTTTTGATTAAGATGAGGGAAATCGCTGAGGCTTACCTTGGTTTGACTATTAAGAACGCTGTGGTAACAGTTCCTGCTTACTTCAACGACTCTCAACGCCAAGCCACCAAGGACGCCGGTGTCATTGCAGGACTAAACGTCATGAGGATCATCAATGAGCCGACTGCTGCTGCCATTGCCTATGGTCTTGACAAGAAGGCAACCAGTGTCGGTGAGAAGAATGTACTCATCTTTGACCTCGGCGGTGGTACCTTTGATGTCTCTCTTCTCACCATCGAAGAGGGAATCTTCGAGGTCAAGGCTACTGCTGGAGACACCCATCTCGGAGGAGAAGACTTTGACAATAGAATGGTAAACCACTTTGTTCAGGAGTTCAAGAGGAAGAACAAGAAGGATATCACGGGCAACCCCAGAGCTCTCAGGAGGTTGAGGACAGCTTGTGAGAGGGCGAAGAGGACCCTCTCCTCCACCGCCCAAACCACAATCGAGATTGATTCTCTCTACGAGGGTATAGATTTCTACTCGACAATCACAAGGGCCAGGTTTGAGGAGCTCAACATGGATCTCTTCAGAAAGTGCATGGAGCCGGTCGAAAAATGCTTGAGGGATGCCAAGATGGACAAGAGCACTGTCCACGATGTCGTCCTCGTTGGTGGCTCTACTAGAATTCCCAAGGTTCAACAGCTGCTGCAGGACTTCTTCAATGGCAAGGAGCTCTGCAAGAGCATCAACCCTGATGAAGCTGTTGCCTATGGTGCTGCCGTCCAAGCCGCCATCTTGAGTGGTGAAGGTAACGAGAAGGTCCAAGATTTGTTGCTTTTGGATGTTACTCCTTTGTCTCTTGGTTTGGAAACCGCTGGTGGAGTGATGACTGTGTTGATTCCAAGAAACACAACTATTCCAACAAAGAAAGAGCAAGTTTTCTCGACTTACTCGGACAACCAACCTGGAGTACTGATCCAAGTTTATGAAGGAGAGAGGACGAGGACAAGAGATAACAACTTGCTCGGCAAGTTTGAGCTCTCGGGCATCCCTCCAGCTCCTCGGGGAGTCCCTCAGATTACTGTCTGCTTTGATATCGATGCCAATGGCATTCTAAATGTCTCAGCAGAGGACAAGACAACAGGACAAAAGAACAAGATCACCATCACAAACGACAAGGGGCGATTAAGCAAAGATGAAATTGAGAAAATGGTGCAAGAGGCGGAGAAGTACAAGTCCGAGGACGAGGAGCACAAGAAGAAGGTGGAGGCCAAGAATGCACTTGAGAACTACGCTTATAACATGAGGAACACAGTCAAGGATGAGAAGATCGCTTCCAAGTTGGCTGCGGACGATAAGAAGAGGATTGAGGATTCGATCGACGAGGCCATCAATTGGCTTGACGCGAATCAGTTGGGAGAGGCTGACGAGTTCGAGGACAAGATGAAGGAGCTCGAGGGAATCTGCAACCCCATTATCGCCAAGATGTATCAGGGAGCTGGTGCTGATATGGGGGCTGGTATGGATGAGGATGGTCCTGCTCCTGCTGGTGGCAGCGGTGCTGGGCCTAAGATCGAGGAGGTCGACTAAGTTTTCTCTAATTTGCTGGGTTCTACTGAAGTTATATCATGAACTTAAAATTTGGGATTGGTACATTTTGTTCTGGTTTTGGCCATCTTATATTGGTCATATATTTTGCTGTGGAAATGCTTTTGCATTCGGTACTTCAAATTTTATAAGCTCTTATTGTAGGTGAAACTTTTATTAGATTTTATGCTCTAAATAGCAAGTGAAACTTTTATCTAGCTTGTCTTCATTTCCATTAGGTTACTCTATCCTGTTTACTTCACCTTGTTTTTACGTGCTCCCCATATAATCTGCATTGTTTTGGGCTGTTTACGCCGGTATATTATTATGTGATGAAGTTTATAACTTGGGCAATTGGAGGCCGTTCGTCTCCGAAGCTCGTGAGTTGGGATTCTGACTTATTTGCATAATTTGCTAGAGATGAGGATTTTGCTTCTGTGATTTTTTTTTTGCTGATTTTGTAAATTCTAACCGTTTATGATTTACCCCAGTAAAGTTTCCGTCAAAGCTGATGCAAAATTTTGTGCAATGATATTCGTAGTGATAGGATTCTGTGTACGAGATCCATTTTTGAATTGAGAATTCGACAGTCAGTGTCCTTGTTCATCCTTGCACTAGAATACCTTTCTTCGAATTTACTCAGGTTTCCAGTTCAAACCAATGCATGCCTCCTTGACTGCAAAATGTAGGAATGTAATCTCGCGCATAACTAATGTGTGCTCTGTTGATGCACTGGATTTATCTGCTTGTCGATGACTATTATTAGACACCTGTTGGTTATTGTTTTGCATTTTGACTTTTGTCTACATCTACGAAATTGAATGGAAAAATAGAATTCATATGGGCGAACTCAATAATTTCGGAACGACGACTTGTCATTTTCTTCTTTCCTGTAACATTTTCTGTGTGGTGATATATTGGTGAGGTTCTTTGCATGTATGCTTCCATCATAATCCCATTCTAAGGTCTGGAAACAGACAAATAACTTGAGATTCTCCACTTCTTTATGGCGGAAAAGAAGTGTTAACTTTAGTTGCCATTTCAATCGTGAGATTATCAAACAAGGAAGTCAAATCCCTCTAGGCTTCTCTAATCCCCAATCATAGTTTCGTTGGGGGTTAACTCCGAACAGACCCCTTGTAGTATCACCCAATCGCGAATAAACTTCATATATTTCTATCGTGCGAATAGGCCTCTGGAGTGAATTTTCCCCCACTTAAAATCGTTAAAAAGATTTTGAGGAGATGGATAGCCCCCATATGGTTCTATTGGTGACCGCGGACCTCAAAAAAAAAAAAAAAAACATTTCCTACTTTTAACTAGTTGAAAAAGTTCACTAAGGTAACGTATTCCTTCTTGGATCAATAATATTAAAGGGGTCTGTTTATATAAATAGAACTACAAAGAGTCTTTTCGAGAGTAGGAGATAATATAGGAGGTCTATTCGCAATTAGCCGCTTTATCAAATATCCGGCACATGCAAACTATGGTGACGGTTCACCATCAATCAGCAAAGCCCAAAAGAGAAAACGTAGCGTATGCATCTCTTATCTCTGCTTTTTTTTCTGACGTAAGCCCTAAAACATATGAATTTGACGGGAGCCCACTAATCATATGCTCCAAAAAAATGAAAAGTACAGCTCTTCCAGAGCAATGAATCAAATTAAGCAATTGTGTGGTAAGCTGCGACTGCATGGAGGCGTAACTTAGAGTTGCATGCAGTAAAAACATTTTTTTTTTGATCGGATACAGTTGTTTGTTCCCCTAAAATGCTGGAACTACATTTGCACAAGGATGAGTTTGGTTTGGGGTAGTTGGAACCGTATGTTGTTTTAACTACGCCGATAATTCAGACAGGGGCGTCGAAACAATACTCAAATTTAAGAATGTTACAACACCATGAGTTTGAAATACGGCGTTATAGAAACATATTTGTTGTTTCAAGTCTGATTCAAATTATAACTCTAGCTGTAATGATTCATGAACCGCTAGAAAGCCGTCTATAAATTATAGTTTTTCTGAAAACGAAAGAAGAAACTGCGAGCTATAGTAGTTGCAGTAGTAACTACGCTCACATACAATTGCATTGCAATTATAATTGCAAGGAACAAACAAAGAAAGCGAACTGTGGCCCTCTTTTGTGCCCACATATTCCATGTGGGCAATTTGGCCCGAAAACCATAAGTTTGACTTGACTTATGAGAGAGGTCCTAGGTAAAGATTGAACTACTATCTTTAATGTGAACAATATATATTTTGGGGGTAAATTTTACAATACCTCCTTAAGTTTGCCCATGCTGAGATAAGTACCTTATATAAACTTTATAAATACTTAACCACGCAAAAGTACTGTCTGAACATGAAAATCAAATGTTAACTAAAATACCCCTACACTAGTAGAAATTCGTGTATTCTAGACGGAAGTCTAGAAAATTTTCTGTCTAGTTTGCTATTAAACTAGACGGAAAATTTCCGTCTAGAATATTCTGTTTAGGATAAAACATCATAGACGGAATTTTTTATTTAGAATAGTATCCTAGACGGTTCTTTTATTTTTAATATTTTTTTAAAAATGGTCAGGTATTTTAGACGAAAATTTCTGTCTAGGATACTTTGACTCATAAAAAAAATTAACCCATCAAAATTTCCCCCCAAAATTCTATTTTCACCGAAAAATTCGATCTCTCTCCCTCTCAGCTTCCCTCCATCTCTCTCGCTAAAACCAGCGCCGCCCTCCTCCTCTCGTCGTTATCATCATCGTTGTCGTCGTCAGAGCTCTCTCGCCGCCTCCTCCTCTCCCCTAAAAGCCCTAGTTCATCATCGTCGGAGCTCTCTTCCCTGATTCAAACTCCTCTTGTCGTCGTCATCGCCGACCGCTCGATTGGACATTGCTGTCGCCGCCGCTTGAAGCTCTATCGCTCCCTCATTCTCTTCCGTAAAAACCCTAACCCTAATCCCCTTTTCCCTCAAAAACCTAATCATCACTTTGGCCTTCTTCTCTCTGTATTCGATCTTTTTTCTGGTAAGTAAAGGATTTTATTGATGATAGGAAATATTAAATTCGTTCAAAATATTAAATTGCTTGAATATTTGGTTTCTTCGTCCACAATTCTTGTGCTACTAGGAAAAACACCTCCTGACTATTTAAAATATTATTATTTAAACCACCAAAATTCCCTCCTTTCTTCTCATTAATTTTTCTCAGATCACAGGTGCTATTCCCCTACCTATATAAAAGATTTTTAGGACGGGTTACTTTCATCTACGAAAATTGAGGCTCATGCCGTTTAAAGGGTTGTGGGGGAAAAAAATTACAAACATCATTATAGTAAATGATTGAAATGATTATAAGACTCCGTATAAATTAGTTATATCTACACGATCATGCTCAAACTTAGTCAGGAAGAGAAAAACATGGGATAAATAAAAAAGAAGGAAAAAGTGATTACTGCATAGGTAGTCTGCATCAATAATTAAATAATGAAGATGATATATTCGATCTCTGTGGTACTCATATAATCTGAATCAGTGTAAATTTCAAAATTTGAACATATTAGAGTAGAATATGAATCTGGTCTAACATTCAATTGTATCAGAGTCTTAAAGTTAGTAGTATCATACTTAAAGGGAGAAGAAATATTCTAGCTTCACGGAGGCTTTTTTTTATTGGTAAAAATTATAAAGTCTAAGAACTTTAGCTAAAAATTTGAAATTTGTAAAGAGAATATGTTCCTTTTGTCCCTGGAATTGTTCAGACCATTATTTTGATTGTTATGGTTGAAAGTAAAGCGGAACTTAGGATCTAGGGCAATGTGATCAGTGAACATTGTAGCCAATAAAAGTACGTTTGTGACATATTTGTAACATAAATTAAAGAAAATAATGTTGATAATCTTACTAATTTTAAGGAAGGGGCTTTCAATTTAGATTATACTGATTTCTTAATTAACCTGAAGGAGTTAAAGAGCTCAAAAATATCAGAAAACAATATAAACACATATCTTTCTTAGCTAAAGTTCTCAAGAGAGGGGTTGATCATTGTGTTTAGCTCTACCTCATGGTGCTCTTTTAATTACGTACTCTTATATATTCCCATATTTTTGGTCAAAAAGGAAAAGAGAATTATCATAAAGAAATGATAATTGTCAAAGAGCAAGGGTTGTTCGAGAAATTGTCAAAGAGCAGGGAATCGATAACCTTTTGCAGCAGGAGGCGGTTGATGTCGTCGAGGATTAATTTCTGAGTTGTGGTATATATACAGAATGTAGAGCTGTGAAACTCTCTTAGCTCTCTTTTCTTTTTTAGGTTTTTTGAAAACTCATGTACATGTATCATGATATTGGAGCTGGGTGTGACAATTTATACTATGCAATACTTGCATGGTATAAACTTTGATTAGCTAGGGACGAGATTTTATCAAAGCATCTACGATTTGATTTGTATAACAGGTGATGACAAAGGTCCTTTCCTAGTTCACAAGTATATATGAACTGCTTGATGTTTTCCTCCCCCATAATCACTGATTATCCTATGTAAAGTCTATCATTTTATTTGCAGTTATAATGAAATAAATTAATAGGGCATCTCGCCCTATTTTATCTTTTTTTTTAAAGTGATGGCTAGTTCTGAGCACAAGCTTATCAGAAGAGTGAAAATTCAATACATGAACATTACTATAGCTAACAACATTTTCAGCTATAGCATCCAAAAAATGGGCAAAAGAGTTCATATATCATCGATATGCATTTTCTACAAAACAAACAAGGGGTCTAGCCAATAATCTACCTATATCTGCGCAAAATCATTCTAAATCCTAACTACAAATAAACCTCAAATTATATCCTACTAATTTGTTAGTCATTTCATACTAAACCATTTTAACAAAAACTAGTTGCACTACTACTAACTGCTTATAACTCAAATTTCTAAACAAGAAACTTCCAGTGGCACAAGAGATAACATATTAATTAATGCTCTATATATAAACCATTAATATTATCCATAAATGTAAATCAAGAAATATCAACAAACAAGGAACTCTAGCTACAACACCTCAACTGTCACGGAGTCTTCCCTCAATTTTTGATACCTCCTCAATTGAATTATATCTCAAATTAACGCTATTAATTAGTTACTTAATTAACATCAAAGTACTGTATTCACAAAAAACTTGTACTACTCGAGCTCACTGATATATACCTCACAGGAAACATCATAAATTAACCTCCATGAACACCCAATTTTTCTATAACAATACTTAATATAACATAAAGAGTTAATTAAAACATAGTTAACACCAAACCCAAATAAAATCAAGAGACAAATGAAGATCCTTACTCTTCTCTCTTCATCTTCCATTCTCAAACCCTATCAAATAAAAGGATTTACAGCAAACTCCCTGTCGACGAAGAATTAAACCCCGACAAATTCATCATCCATCCACCACCACCACCACCACCTCCCGCCCGCCACCGGAGCCTACTTCTTTTTTTTTTGTTTTTTTTCCCGCACTTCACCGCCCAAAACTGCCCCGTTGATCCTCCATTATTCACCAGCTCATTGAAATCATACATCTGCCGGAGGCTGGTTAAGCCTCCACTGCTCCACGCCCATATCCCTCACCCCGGGAACCCCAGGCCCCATGTTCTGCCCAGGCGGCTGCCCCGCCAGCAGCCCTGGAGGCCAACGTAAATATGCTGGTGGGCCCCGCGCCGCCGACCGCGGCGGGCCCTGGTCAGCGGCGCGGCCGGGCGCAGGCGGTGGCCAAGTCCGGGCCTTGAATGCCGTGGCCCTTGCGCAGTCCGAGGTGGGGTTGGATTTGCTGTTGGCTGCGCTTCGTGTTGCGGCAGGGACTGCGCTTCCCGACCGGGACGCCTGCGTAGGCGAGCCGCGCGAGGTCCAGTAGCGGCGGCAGCCTTACTAGAAGTGGCGCGGCTGCAGATAAGGATAGTTGTTGAAGTAGCAGAACGTTGTGCTTGTTGGTCTGGACTCGCAGCGGGGGGGCATTTCAGGGCTTGCCTCGGGTTGCGGGATTTCGCAGGCGGCCCGCTGCGGCCATGGCTTTGGGACGGTAGAGGCGGAGCCCGCAGCCCGGCCGCCATCCTGCATGATGATCCATGGCACCAGTTTGCCGGCTGCGGCGGCGCCTGCTGGTTGTTCGTTGGTTGAAGATGGAGAGGAGAACTGGCTTATTTTGCTGTTGTTGCTGCTGTAAAAAATATTAGAGATATGTAAAGGGTACTTACTTAACTTGAGCGAAAACACAACATACTTATAAACTAACATACGCAGAAATTTACTACCCTAGAATTAGTATATTCAAGAGGAAAGATGGAATATTTGGTTAACTTTTTCCTCCCCTAATTCCCTTTTTATGATGATCGATGAAGTAAGCTAATTGATGATAAGGGAAGGGAATAAACTTACTTGGCTCCATGAAGTGGGGGGATCATCAAGATAGAGAGGAAGCGATGAAGGGAAAGCCATGGTTTGGTTCCTGCTCGGTTTCTTTAATTTGATTTGGTTAATTAATTGTTAAAGAGTGAGAGAAAGCCAGAGAGAGAGAGAGAGAGAGATATCTCTATCTCTTTCTCTAGAGACGCGCTTCTAGATCTTTGGATAAAGGTTGATGCTATTGGAGAGATGGTGGGG